AAATGGCTTAAGCCCTGTGTGGATTTTCATGTGATTTTTTAAACTACTCTTTTCAGTAAACTTTTTTTCACACAGATCACAAGAAAATGGTTTCTGCCCTGTGTGGATTTTCACATGATTTTTTAAATTACTCTTATCAGTAAACCTTTTTTCACACAGATCACAAGAAAAGGGTTTCTGTCCTGTGTGGATTTTCATGTGTCTATTTAAACGTCTCTTAATATTGAACATTCGCCCACAAACATCACAACTAAATGGCTTCAGTCCATTTTTGTTGTGGACCCTTTTCACAATTAACTCAGAGACCCTGCTGGGTGAAGACTCCCAGGCTTCATCAATGCCTTCAGTTTTTAACCCAAAGTCTGATATAAGTTTCAGCTGAGACTCAGGATTGTTCACATCATTATCCTCTTCATCACCTTCACTAACTTCAGTTTCTGAAAAATCTGAATCATCTCTACAAGCATTTAGATCTGTTTTTTTTGTATAATTTTCTCCTTCACCAGTTGCTGATTCCATGTGGTCACCTGAGCTGCTGGATAGAAGATCTCCGACTTCAACATGGTGTCGATGAAGCTGTGAGAACAGATGTTTCTCTTCATCATCCTCACTCTTAAAATGAACTGCAGTTAATGAAAAGCTGGTGACATCTGTCTCCTCCTTCATACTGAGCTGCTCTGCCCCCAAAATGGTCCACGGTTCCTCATCTTCCTCTTTTATGTGGAGGCAATTTGTGTCCTGCTGGTCCACATCAGGCCACTGTTCTTCAGGAGGTTCTTCTTTAATCAGCACTGACTTCTGAACATCTGCAGGAACCACTGAAACACATGTAAAATACAGTAAGGAGAACTGTAGCTTTATATTTACACATACATGATTTGTTTTACTGCTCAGATCAGTTATTTTTTCCTCTAAACAGGTTCCAGTGCTAAACCAGAGCCAAAGTGTGCTTAGCATGGGTTATTCATGGAATTCGGTGCACTTTGGGTTCTCAGATTACTGAAAAAAATACAAAAAAAAAAAAAATGTCTTTCTGAACATTGCTACTACTGAAGGACTATCTGAACCACCCAGAAAATATGTTTTCCCACCTTGTGCATGAAATCCCAAACATTATTATGAATATCTTTGTTACTTAGATTGTTATAAATTCAACCCCGTAACGGGACAATTTGATTCCTATGAGTATAACTCTAAAACATAATCAAACTAATTATTCCAGTTCCTTTGTAATCACCTGTCCCTTGTGTAAAATTACTTATTGTAAGTAATTTTATTTGATTCTAAATAATAATAATTAGACTGTCAAGTAGAATATGGCAACTTGAACTTATATGCGGTCTTTATGAATCATGAAAATACATTAATATAAACATTAGATCAGGCTTTTTTATGTTTTCTACAAGTCCTCTAAACTTTGCATACAGTTCAACAAAGATTTGTTTGATTTTTGTCATCAAAAAATGTATAACAATGTATCAAGTAACAGTGTTGAACACATTGTAACAGGGTTGAACACACTGTAACAGGGTTGAATGAATGACAAAATTTAACCAAGTTAAAATTGACTTTAATTAATTCATTAACACAAACAAAGAAACAACATTACTACAAACCGGATTCCAAAAAAGTTGGGACAAGAAACAAATTGTGAATAAAAACTGAATGCAATGAAGTGGAGGTGCCAACATCTAATATTTTATTCAGAATAGAACACAAATCACAAATCAAAAGTTTAAACTGAGAGAATGTATCCTTTTAAGGGAAAAATCTGTTGTTTCCAAATTTCATGGTGTCAACAAATCCAAAAAAAGTTGGGACAAGTCCATTTTTACCATTGTGTTGCATCCCCCCTTTTTCTTACCACACTCAACAGATGTCTGGGGACAGAGGAGACCAGTTTCTCAAGTTTAGAAATAGGAATGCTCTCCCATTCATGTCTAATACCGGCCTATTACTGTTCAATCCTCTTGGGCCTTCTTTGTCGTACCTTCCTCTTTATGATGCGCCAAATGTTCTCTATAGGTGAAAGATCTGGACTGCAGGCTGGCCATTTCAGTACCCGGATCCTTCTCTTACGTAGCCATGAGGTCTGGCATTATCGTGTTGAAAAATGCAGGGTCTTCCCTGAAAGAGATGACGTCTAGATGGGAGCATATGTTGTTCTAGAACCTGAACATAGTTCTCTGCATTAATCGTGCCTTTCCAGACATGCAAGCTGCGCATGCCACAAGCGCTCATGCAACCCCATACCATCAGTGATGCAGGCTTCTGAACGGAGCGTTGATAACAACTTGGGCTATCCTTGTCCTCTCTGGTCCGGATGACATGGCGTCCCAGTGTTCCATAAAGAACTTCAAATCGTGACTCATCTGACCACAGAACAGTCTTCCATTTTGCCACACTCCATTTTAAATGACCCCTGGCCCAGTGCAAATGTCTGAGCTTGTGGCGCTTGCTTAGAAATGCCTTCCTCTTTGCACTGTAGAGTTTCAGCTGGCAACGGCGGATGGCACAGTGGATTGTGTTCACTGACAATGCTTTCTGGAAGTATTCCTGAGCCCATTCTGTTATTTCCTTGACAGTGGCATTCTTGTTTGAGGTGCAGTGACGTTTAAGGGCCCGGAGATCAAGAGCATCCAATAGAGTTTTACGGCTTTGACCCTTACGCACAACGATTGTTCCAGATTCTCTGAATCTTTTGATGATGTTATGCAACGGTTGATGATGATAACTTAAAAGTCTTTGCTATTTTATGCTGGGTAACACAATTCTGGTATTGTTGCACTATCTTTCTGCGTAACAATGGTGGAATTGGTGAGCCTCTTACCATCTTGGCTTCTGAGAGACACTGACACTCTGAGAAGCTCTTTTTATACCCAATCATGTTGTCAATTGACCTAATTAGTGTTAATTGGTCTTCCAGCTGTTCGTTATATGCTTAATTTCCTTTTTCCAGCCACTTATTGCTACTTGTCCCAACTTTTTTGGGATTTGTTGACACTGTGAAATTTTGAATCAACATATTTTTCCTTTAAAATGTTACATTTACTCAGATTAAACTTTTGATCTGTCATCCATGTTATATTACGGATAAAATATTGATATTTGCCATCTCCACATCATTGCATTCAGTTTTTATTTACAACTTGTTTAGTGTCCCAACTTTTTTGGAATCCGGTTTGTATATAATATTTAACATTGTTTAAAAATAACATGACATTTAGACTGAACAGATCTGTTTTATGTGTAGAAAAATGAAGGACAGCATAGGCTGAATGTTGTATACAAAAACTCTCACTGGAATCAGTTTAACAATGTAACAACTGACATCACAACAAAGTTACATTCTTAACTATAAATGTTAATATTAAAATAATTTTATATGTGCTTGAATCTATCATCTGTGCTATCAGCAGTAAAAAATAGTACACGGCTCTAAAAATGGGAATTGAGCGTTAACTAAACTCTGAATGAATGTGGATGGTTTATTTTCTTATCTGATCTGTTGTTCCTGCTATTTGTTGTTCATTCATCCTTTAGTCAGTCTGTCCCAGATCTCTTTCTGAATTTGCATGGGACATGAATCACGTCCTGTCACGGGCTGAGGAGGCGGGATGAGCTCAAGAACATCATTAAATGGATACCACAGCACATCCTCTTGTAGAGGCCAAAATAATCTGTTTTTGGTTATCCCAGCATGGTCTGAAAAGATCATGTAAAAATATTTAGAGAAAGAGGGCTGGCTAGCTTAAGAACAGTCCAACCTTCAATCCCGTAACAATATTTCAACACTGTAACAGTGTTTTTTTTAATGGGGTTGAAGATTTCAGCTAAAATTAGCCATGAGGCCACATAAGCTAGGACATGGAGCAGCACATGGCATGACGAAAACAAGAAATTATTATATTTTTCCAAGACGGTTCTTTGATTTTTCCCAAACAATAGTAAATATGATTTATGCATGTAACAGTGTTGAAAGGTTGAGCTTGACGATGGCAATCTGTGGATAAAAACAATGAAATATAGGTAAGAAAGAATGCTAACACTTACCTGTCTTTACAGTGTGAGGGAGGAAAAGACTTAAATGGTGTCAGTTCCTGGGTGCTGAAGACGTTAGACTGAACCATTATTTTTAAAAGGGGGGGATTGGTATGCTGTTACAGGGCTGAAAAATACTTGGGGGACATGATTAAAAAGTGCTATTTTATAAATAATTCATGAATTTTTCTCATATTCATTTTATTTAGGTTAAAGTATACTGGCAAATGTTTATATTAGTAGAAATAACTTGCAGTTACTGGCTATTTTTATTTGTTTTATATTCACTGAAAAAATGACTTTGGTCAGTGGGGACATGGTCATTTGGCTGACTTCTATGACTCAGTAACCCATAATTTTTTTTCAAAATATTTGTGTATAATGCAAAGACACTTCACACTTCAATTTAAATAAATTTTGTAGTTTACATTATATGAAAATCTTTGAGATAAACATGTGAGACACAAAGTGCACTGAATTCAGAGAATGACCCCCATCTCTTTCCTTTAATAACACTATAAGCTTTAACACCCTACCAACTCAGCACAAACTGTTTAAATGTGTAAGATGAGTGTAAATAAATTGTATGTGTGTTGGAGACAGATAAATGTTTCTCAGTCAAAACTTGTGAAAGTATGTTGTACATCACCAGATTCAGGCATGTAAATAATATTTAATTAAATCCATTAGTGTGTGTGTGGGTTCTTGCCCGAGTTCATTCCAATTACATTTTCCCCAGTGTGAATTCTCATTTGTTTGCTTAAATTCAAGGATTCAAGGTTCTTTATTGTCATTCACATCGCATGTGGTACATGAGGTGGAACGAAAATGTGTACAGTCCCAGTTGGGGGAGTGGTGGCGCAGAGGTTAGAGAAGGTGGGCCTGTGATCGGAAGATCGCGGTTCACGCCCCTGTACCAACAACAGCAAAAATGTGGGTGGGGTAGGTGAAGCACCCACATTTGCCCCCACCCTCATTCGCCCCACTCTGGGCCCATGAGCAAGGCCCATAACCCCCATCTGCTCCCTAAACAGGTCTCTCTTGAAAATGAGTTCTCATGGCTCAATGAGACTACTTGTATAAATAAAGGGTAAATGAGAAAAAAAATGTACATCCAACAATAGCAAAAATATAGTGTAAAAAGAAACAGTAAATAAGGATCTAAGATATCAACTAAGATATATGCTAAATGAACGCCCAGTGGTACGCTAAAAGATATATGTGGCATGGAGGCTGCACAGCTGCAGAAAGAAAAGCTTTGCAGAGAGTGGTGAAGGCTGCACAGAAATCTGTCGGAATCAGCCTCCCCACCATCACAGACATCTACACCTCCACATGCAGGAAGAGGGCCACCTGCATCATGAAGGACCCCACTCACCCAGCGCACACACTTTTTGCCCCACTCCCCTCAGGAAGGAGGTTAAGGAGCATTAAGTGTAGAACCACTAGACTGAGGAACAGCTTCTACCCTGAGGCTGTTAGACTCATGAATCTCTAACTAGAATAATCACTGTGAAAAACCATATCATGTTGCTGCTGATCTGTTTCATGTTGCTGCTGATCTGTTTCAATGTTGATGTGTTCATGCGTGCACATCTGCTCACAGACTCATGTTCATGTTTGTGCTGATGTTCAATGTTTTATGTTATGAGTGCTTAGTGTGTATTTAGTTGATGTTTTTCTTAGTTCATATCTTAGATGTTATTACTGTTTTTCTTATACATTTTATTGTTGGATGTAACTGGGACCCCGTGTACATAATTTCGCTCCACCACATGTACCACATGAGGTGCGAATGACAATAAAGAAACTCGTGACTCTCTGACTCTGTGACTCTGATAAGATATACAACAATACATTGAACAACAGCAGCACAATTGTAATAGGTTGAGTTGGGCTATAAATTACACGCTTAATGCAAGCATTAACATAACCTAAACTAACAAACTTGGATTTATTCAAAGCATGCAACAAAAATACATACATTATTTGTTTTGCTGATCAGATAACAGTTTTTTTTCTCCTCCAAACAGGTTCCAGTGCTAAACCAGAGCCAAAGAGTGCTTAGCCAGAGCTCTTTCCTTTTACAAAACTGAGCTGTGGCTTTAGCACCCCACCAACTCAGTACAACTCTAGCACAAAATCTAGCTGTTTTTTGTTTGTTTTTTGCTGCTATTCCTCTTGGTTGTCCTTTTGGTTGCTATTTTGTTTTGTAAAAAAAGAAAAGAAAAAGAAAGAGATACTTAAATTTTCATGAACAAAGTCCATGCTCAATTATCCAGGTATACAATCCAACAATTTTCAGTCAGGTTATCTGGACTAGGGCTGCAACAACGAATCAATAAAAATCGATGATTAAAAGTGTTGGCAACGTATTTCATTATCGATTCGTTGTGCCGCGCGATTATGTGTCTTTCATGGCGCTGCGGAGCTGTTTGTTTACCGGCAGTTCATTGTCAATGCTGTCTGAATAAAGTTTTAAAAAAAATTTAAAAAACTGCAGCGCGAGTTGAACAGAGCGAGGGGGGAGGCGGAAGCAGAGCAGAGGCGGCGTTTTCAAAGGAAATTAAATACATTTTACAAATGAGCGACGTAGCGAAAACTGTTCGACCCGAGTCCTACAAAGTGTGGGACCACTTGACAAAGATAAAAACTGAGAAACATGCAGCTTTGAAAAGTGACGACAAGACACGGGAGAACCACGGAGATGAAACGTAAACATGTCGGAGTCACGAGGAGGATGAAGGAGCTGCAGCAGATACAACTCGTCATGTGTTGGCAAGTGAGCCTCTACAATATTCACATTTGTTCTGTTTCCAAGTGAGAAAACGTAACTTCAGTCTCTCTGTAGCTGAAGCTGCTTGTTTGTTTGCTGATTAATGACAGTGATGGAGAACGTGTTACTTTTTATTTAATTTAATTGGTACAAGCAGTGTCTAAATGTGATTTATAAATAAATCTAACACAAAGGTAATAATTTAATGATTAAGCTTCAACTTTTAATTTGCTGGCAAAGTCTGAAGACACTGCAGGTATGGCAGGATGAATTGCATTTAAACAGGACTTAATGTTCATTCATTCAACCTTTACTCAGACTGGTAAATCCCATTGAGCCTCGAGGACTAATTTACAAGAGAGACCTGATAAAAAATTTAAAATAATTTATTACATCTACTCAAATGTGTGTAATTAAGTATCTTATATGTGTGTGTTTAATTGCTCTTTTAGCTACTTTTGCCTGAACCCAACACTATAAGTGAAACAAGGCATTTCTTGAGCTGCTATAAATTATGCTATAATATGTATTTACTCTCTCATTTCAGAAATCAACAACAAACAACGACAGCCTTCATGATGGAAACACATCAACGACACCACAGCAGCAGCTGTCTTCACTGAAAGATCCTTAAATGATCGTCACTGACATGAGGCCTCTGTCGATGGTTGAAGAAAAAGACTTCACTACAATGATACACACTTTTAATCCAGGTTGCAAAAATCCGCACTTTTAATCCAGGTTACACTCTTCCCTCAAGGACACATTTTACAAAGTATCTACATACTGTACAGGTACAAAGCAGACATTTCAGTGTTTCCCCTACCATTATACAAGTGGGGTGCCCCACCCCATCAACAGAACTGAGCACCCCACCTACTCCCCCCACCCCCCCAGCACTAAGCAAGTGGCACGAAATACAGGCTTTCTAGCTAAAAAGCTCAAGGCAGCACTCATATTGCCTCTTCTCTCAAGCTGAACACCACACACACTCAAAAACTGTCTGTATAACAAGTGCACAACTCAAACGTGTCACGCTAAGCTAGCAACGCACAAAACAGGCGCTCTAGTTAAAAGATAAAGGCGACTCTTCCCTCATGCTGAACCCCCCCCCCCCCCCCCCCCCCCCCCCCCCCCCCCCAACTGTTGGTACAAGCTGTGCTCAGACATGTCTCTCTCCAACCCCCTTCAACAAAAATCATGGATGATATGAGCACCCCCCCATGGCAAGTTAACTAGGGGAAACAATGCATTTGTAAATAATTTTGTGTACATTTATTTTTTTAAGCTATTTGACTAACTTTTATTTTTTTATTATTCAATATTTTACTAACAGAATAGTCAAATAGCAATCTGTTTTTTTTTGTGTGAATTGCTATGTCAGTCAAATGTTCAATTTTGTAACAAAGGGGTGGAAATTAAAACGTAGTTTGTGTTTTTGCAGATTAAGCAACAAAAAAACAAACAAACAGCAGGTTAATCGATTATTGAAATAATCGTTAGTTGGAGCACTAATCTGAACAACAAAGTCCATGCTCAATCTAATCTGGACAGTTTCTTTTTTGCAGAAACGTTTCACCTTCCATCCAGAAGGCTTCATCAGTCAAGGCAACACAAAACAGATTCTTCCCCAACAGCTTACTCCAAAGTGGAACAACCAGTTATGTTTGTGCTAAGATGGTGTCTTTGGTAACAGCCCCCTTCTTTGTCGACATACATGTCAAACTGGTTCAGCACCAACATAACTGGATTAACATGTCTAAAGAAAGGTTGAATGAATGAAAAACAAACCGTTTAAAGGCGGGTTTTTTCTCTTTCTTAAAAAAAAAAAAAAATGTTTCAAGTGTTTAACCAGACTGGTGCTACAGATGGTTCCTGAATGGTTATTTAAAAATAAAGTTAAGCAACAAGAAAAGGTGGTGCCCCCACACCCTGTCCATCCTCCCAAGATCCCTACATCTACATCTACTTCACACCCACCTCCAGGAGTGGAAATAATACTCTGTGTCTGGTTTTGTCCATGTACTATATTCATTCAACCTTCATTTATACAGGTTAGTCCCACTGAGTCACGAGAACTCATTTCCAAAAGACCAGTTTTAGACAAACAACATATAAAGTACAGACAACAATAAACAGCAATAAAATGCAATTAAAATAAAAAAGTAGTAAAATCAAGGGCTCGTATTTTGCTCTACATGGCCAAACATCACATGATGTGATCAACAATTTTAAATATTCGTGTGGTAATTTTGAGTTTCAATGGTTAGCTTTTACGTAGTAAAACAAAACAAAAAAATATATATTTAATTTATCTAAGGGCTTTAAAATCAGCACTTTGGGGTTTGTAACCTCTCATACTTTATTTAATCTGTTAGCAAGCTCAACTATAAACAGAATTACACATGTCCTTTCCAGGAAGATAAATTAATTTACCAGAAAGCTCAGACTAAACTGTAACATAATCACATTCAACAGAAAAAAATAAAAAGATACAAACCTATTATATGCAGTTGATCGTTGGGACTGAAAACTGCATCTATGATTTGGCTTCCTCCAGTTGTTTCCTGTTCAAGAGCATCTCTACTTCCAAGGAAAACCTCCATTTCTTCTTCCTCTGCATCCAGGTGCTGCTGGACCTGCTGTCTCCACATCTGTTAGCTTTCGTTCATCAGTATTTACATTAACCGAGTACTTACAGCTGAATAGAACTCAAAATTATACTAATTTCATCAGACGTTGAGAAAAGAGGCTTAGTTAGTCAACACGGAACATGGAGAACACGCTGAACGATGACACAACTTCCGCTACTAAGAGGAAATCACTTCCGTTATGCTTCTTCCTCTTCAGACCAACTGTGAAGGTGCATTACCGCCACCTATAGGACTGGAGTGTGGACTGGAAATAATAAAAACCACTGCTGTGTGAAGCCAACTTAATATTTAAATTTACTTCTCTAACATACTAGCATAATACATACATTTTTTTAGATAGTTATTCAGAATTACACAGGTACACTAAAGATTCTTATTTACTTACAACTGAAGTCTGTGAATGTAATGTACAAGGAAAAAGCATAACAAATGAGCATATAAATTATTTTATGAGTGTTTTGGAGACCGGTCAAAAACTAGTTAAATTATGTTGTTCATCACAAGATTCAGACAAGTAAAACAATAAGTTTAAATATATTTGTATGTGAGTGGCTTCTTGCCTATAAGTTCATTCAAATTACTGTTTTTCCCCAGTGTGGATTCTCATGTGTTTGTTTAAATTGCCCTTACTGGTAAACATTCGGTCACAAAAATCACAACAAAATGGCTTCTGTCCTGTGTGGATTTTTAGGTGTGCATTTAAATTACCCTTTTGGTTAAAATTACGTTCACACAGATGACAAGAAAAGGGCTTCTGTCCTGTGTGGATCATCATATGTTTCTTTAAACTGCCCTTTTCTCTAAACTTTTGGCTACACTGATCACAACAAAATGGCTTCTGTCCTGTGTGAATTTTCATGTGTTTCTTTAAACTGCCTTTTTCTGTGAAGTTTTGATTACACTGATCACAACAAAATGGTTTCTGTCCTGTGTGAATTTTCATGTGTTTACTTAAATTGCCCTTTTGGTTAAACTTTTGTTCACACAAATGACAAGAAAAGGGCTTCTGTCCTGTGTGGATTTTCATGTGTTTGGTTAGACTGCCCTTTTCGGTAAACCTTCGTTCACACATATCACAAGAAAATGGCTTCTCTCCCCTGTGAATTCTCATGTGATTATTTAAACTGCCCTTTTGAGTAAACTTTTGTTCACATAGATTACAAGAAAATGGCTTCTGTCCTGTGTGGATTCTCATGTGCCTGTTTAAATGATTATTGTAGCTAAAACTTCGCCCACAAACATCACAACAAAATGGCTTCTGTCCTGTGTGGATAATCAAGTGTCTATTTAAATCTCCTTTTTGACTAAACTTTCCTCCACACAAATCACAACAAAATGGCTTCTGTCCTGTGTGGATCCTCCTGTGTTTTTTTAAATTAGCCTTTTCAGTAAACCGTTGTTCACACAGATCACAACAAAATGGCTTCTGTCCTGTGTGGATCTTCAAGTGTCTGTTTAAATGGCCCTTGCTGGTAAACCTTTGTTCACATAGATCACAAGGAAATGGTTTCTGTCCAAATTTGTTGATGGTGTTTCCACCTGACTCAGGATTCCAGCTGGATGAAGACTCCCATTCTTTATCAGTGTCTTCAGCTTTTGACCCAGAGTCTGATAAAGGTTTCAGCTCAGACTCAGGATTGTTCACATGATTATCCTCTTCATCATCCTCACTAACTTCAGTTTCTGAAGAATCAGAATCATCTCTATAAGCATTTAGATCTGTTTTTTTTGTATATTTTTTTCCTTCACCAGTTGCTGATTCTATGTGGTCACCCGAACTGCTGGTTGGAAGACTACTAACTTCATCTTGGTGGTGATGAAGATGAGAGAACAATGGTTTCACTTTATCATCCTCACTGTTCAAATGAACTGCAGTGAATGAAAAGCTGGTGACATCTGTCTCCTCCTTCACACCGAGCTGCTTTCCCCCCAGACTGGGCCACAGTTCCTCTTCTTCCTCTTTTATGTGGAGACAATTTGGGTCCTGCAGGTCCAAATCAGGACTCTGTTCTTCAGGAGCTTCTTCTTTAACCAGCACTGACTTCTGAAAATCTGCAGGAACCACTGAAACACATGTAAAATACAGTAAGGAGAACTGTAGCTTTATACTCACGCATATATTACTTGTTTATACAAAGGGTTACTGCAGAAATCAGCTGATCCAATTTAATGCCTTTTAATGCAATGTTTTAGACATTTGTATTGCTATTAACAGTAAATGCATCAACTGACCAAGTTATTTTTAAATAGTATTTCCTATCAATTCATCCATCCATCCATTATCTTTACCCGCTTATTCCATTTTGGGTCATGGGGGTCGTTGGTGCCCATGTCTAGCAATCACTGTGTGAGGGGCGGGGTACACCCTGGATGGGTCTCCAGTCCATCACAGGGCCACATAGAGACAAACGAGACAAACAACCATTCACTCTCTCACTCACACCTAGGGACAATTTAGAGTTACCAATCAGCCTAACATGCATGTTTTTGGTCTGTGGGAGGAAACCGGAGTACCCGGAGAAAACCCACGCATGCACGGAGAGAACATGCAAACTCCACCCAGAAAGGCCCCTGGACCGGGGTTTGAACCAAGGACCTGCTCGCTGAGAGGCAGCAGCTCTACCAGTTGCGCCACCATGCTGCCCTCCTATTAATTCATTTCAGTTTATTTATATAGCACCAAGTCACAAGAGAAGTCATCTCAGGGCACTGAACAGAAACATTCATATACATAAAACGTAAATTAACACTATTTATCTGAGGAGCAGACTGCTTTGAATTTAACTTCATCGCAGACTCTCATCTTGATCAAGCACAGAGGCGACAGTGGAAAGGAAAAACTCCTTCATGAGGAAGAAATCTCCAGCAGAACCAGGCTCAGGACAGGTGCGCCACCGTGCTGCCTTTAAATAATTAATTTTAAAAAATTATAAGATCAACTGTTTCAAGTTATAATCTCTCATCAGTTATTTCATTTGTTAGTAAGCTAAGCTATAATTCAATTGGTGACACTTTACAATAATGTACACAAAATTAGATTAACTACTAGGGAACGCCTCAGGAACGAATCAGGAGCTAATGGATAGTTAACCATTGCTTACTGGGAAACAGCCAAACCTTATTAGGGGACGACTGGTTAGTTACCTTGTAAATGAAGAGGAACTAATCAAGAACTAATGGGTGGTAACCAGGGGAACCAAAGATGAATGAATCAGGAGGTAATGGGTAGTTAACCAGTACTTACTGGGGATCACACAGCCAAGCCTTATTAGGGAACTACTGGTCTGGTTTGTTACCACCGGAACAAACCAGTAGGTGATGGTCAGGCAGTGATTAAGTAATGAATGGTTCCTCACTAATTACTTGGTATGATGCTTCACTACATCATACCAAGACGGGCAATGATTTAGTACACAGTAAGTGATAAGTCAGACATAGTTAAGATGACACCAGTACAAGATTATAAAATTGCTAATGTCTTTCATTAATAGGTTTGCAAAAGAGAAAATCCAGTAAAATCATTTATCACTAGGAAACAGGTTTTTGACAATTACAAGCTGTGACCTCACTGGTGCAGGGTTTATTCAGAACCCACATGGAGAATTTCTTCTCCGTTTCTGTGGTAACAAACCAGTAGTCCCCTAATAAGGCTTGGCTGTGTGTTCCCCAGCAAGTACTGCTTAACTACCCATTAACTCCCAATTCATTCCTCTTTGGTTTTCTTGGTAACTACCCATTAGTTCTTGATTAGTTCCTCTTCATTTACAAGGTAAACTAACCTGTAGTCCTCTAATAAGGCTTGGCTGTGTGCTCCCCACTAAGTACTGGTTAACTACCCATTAGCTTCTGATTCATTCCTGAGGCGTTCCCTAGCAGTTAATAAAATTTTGTGTACCTTATTGTAAAGTGTTACCATTCAATTCATTTTATTTATAAAGCAACAAGTTACAACAGAAGTCATCTCAGGGCACTGAACAGAAACATTCATATATAAAAATAATAATTTAACGTTATTTATCTGAGGAGCAGACTGCTTTGAATTTAACTTCACCGCAGACTCATCTTGAGCGAGCACAAAGGCGACAGTGGAAAGGAAAAAACTCCCTCATGAGGAAGAAACCTTTAGCAGAACCAGGCTCAGGACAAGCGGTCACCTGCTTCGACTGGCTGGGTTTGAGAAGAACAGATACACAATGGCAGGTCAATAATCACATTAAGATAAAAAAAAAAAACTATTCAATTTTAACAATTAATTTAAGTAAATTAGGTCAATTTGTCCTCCAGTAGTCTAAGCCTACAGCAGCATAACAAGCCAACCCTAATTATAGGATTTATTAAAAGCAAAGTCTGCAGTCTATAAACAGTTACAGATGTTCGTTCATCCATTAGCTACTACAAAACAGCTACTAACTGTAACATAATCACTTTCAAAAGAAGAAAATTAAAATATACAAACCTATTATACGCAGTTGATTGTCGGGAAAGAAAACTGCATCTAAGATTGGGCTTCCTCCAGAGCTTTCCTCTTCAAGATCATTTCCAGAAACCTCCGACATTTCTTCTTCTTCCTCTGGGTCCAGGTGCTGCTTGAGCTGCTGTCTCGACATCTCTGTTAACTTTCACGCATCAGTATTTAACTTCAACATTTACTGAGCTGTCACAGCTGAATATAACTTTAAACTCCTTTGACCATCAGTACAGTGGAAAGGATTCAGCTCACAGACATTTGGTTTAGCTCGTCGCTACAGATTAAAGGCACGCTCATCCACTTCCGCTGCAATTGAAATCACTTCCGCTAGGGGCTGAACTTCAAAATAAGAGCACGCAACTCACGCAGGAGGCGCACATGCATTTTCCTATTTTGTTTCATTCATCTATCTGATGGAAAAAAGAAAAGAAAAACGGCATTGTTCCCAAGGAGGTCCGAAGCCTGCCAGAATGTGATCTGTATGCCATGAGCAGACATCATTAAATGGGAAAGCTTTGACTGTCATTTTCTTTCATCTAATTGTTCTGCACTTGAACCATAAACACTATTTTATAATTACAATCTGAAACCAGTTGTAACTGGACCATGTAAAGACAAGTATTAATAATAATCCTAATATTTACCCAACTTTATACTGTTAAAATGTACTGTCTTATAATAAAATAAAATAAAAACATTAAGAAAAAACACGAAGAAAATGGATGAGGTTTTGTAATATAAGATGATTGTCAGGAATTTGCCATCTGCTGTGAACATGAGCCCTGGGGGGGTCTCTGTCCATGGTATTGCAGACACTATTGAACCTTGTTCTTAATTAAGAAATGATAAACTCATTACTACAGTAAAACAATCTAAAACTAAAATGTGCTTCATAAGCTGTTACACAAGACTGAAGTAAACTTTAATCATCATGTGATCTGAATTTCTTACAACATTTAAAAAGTGATATGTAAGGAGCAAACTGGTGTTCTGGTCAGAATTCAGTTCAAAATAAATACAATATATACCACACTAACATGTCTTTTTATATTTTCTAAAATTGACAGTACCTTAGAAAACTTACTGGTGTTTTGACATAATGTAATTAAATAAAATACAACTAACCGAACATTAAAAATGTAGCCCTGATAAAGATGTTTAATTTCCAGTCTTTCCTGTTTTATTTAAAAGCTACCATTTCTGTGTAGAATTTTGAATTTACCAAATGCACACAAAAAAAAACCTATAACAGTATTGGTATCAACATGTGAACTGTAAAAAAAAATAAAAAAAAATAAAATAAAAAAACAGTTAAGAAGTACAATAAGCTTTTAATCAATCAGAAATGTAAATACGTAGGCAGACACTAAAATAAGTACATACTTTTTTTTTAACTCTTCTGTGCATTTACAATTATACCATGTACATAAACAAAAAATAACAACATTCATTTAAAAAAGCAACTACAAAATAAAATAAAAAACGTATAACCTCACTGGCTGTTCACCTTCATCTACTTGAAAATAAAATCCATCCTTTGGTCTCTCTTTGTAAAATGGGCAATTGTGTTGTCAAACAGTTTGTCTTTGGATTTAAGCTCCAACAGAAGTTCTTTTTCTATGGACATCAGTGCCAAGGCCCCCAGGCGCTCCTGTCCAGTGGTGTTCCTGGCGTGCGTCTTGATGCGCTGCAGGGCAGAGACAGACCACTCCATGGATGAAGTGGAAACTGGGATGGTCAACACCAAACAGTTGAGGAGATAAAGCTGCTGCATGCTCTCAATCAGCTCCTTCTGTGTGAGGAACTGAAGCAGGTCTGCTGGGCTCTTCCCCTCAAAGTTTGACATGTTGTACATGACAGTGAGCTCAGTGTTGAGCCTGGGGAGATCAAAGAAAAGTCCGTAGTTTTCCCGAAGACTTTCAAACTCAGAGACGGGAAACTTTTCTCTGTGTGCTGGAAACTTCTTTGGGTCCAGGAGGGAAAGGAACAGGAGCCTTTCGTGGTCTTTGAACCTGTTCCTGAGTTGTGTGAGGATATTATCCATGATGTCACTGTGCAGCTGCTGGTATGTGGAGCGCACATCTCTGTGTGCCCTGCGTTTGCTGGGTGGCCCGATTTCACTCACAGTCTTCTCATAGATGGAGTCAAACTGACCCTTTTCACTCTCTGTGGTGGCACAAAAGTCACTGATGCTGGACAAACAAAACTGCATGCTAAAGTCCTTATTTTGCAGAATGCTGACCAGCACGTCCAAATACGCAATGACAGAGTTGAACGTGGCAAGCAGGAAGCAAAACTCAAAGCTTGTCAGCAGCGTTATATACCCGTCTGCACTACGAACTGCATCGTCTTCAAAATCATTGTGATGGTCCACAACAAATTCAAAGAGCTCCAGGAGCTCCTCTCTCAGCTCATAAACAGAGCAGACTAGCCGTGATGAAACGTTCCACCACGTTAGATTCATGCTCGATAATCTTCGGTGACATTTCTCATCCAGAAGTTTTGTGCGTTTTTGTGATTTACTAAAAAAATCGGCCAGGCCGCTTAGATGAGAGAAGAAGATCTTGCATTCTCTGATTTTAGCAGTTCCTTGTGACATGACGAGATTCAAAGAGTGGGCATAGCAGTGAATAAAAAGAGCTTGAGGAATTATTTCTTTAATTTTGGCTTGGACTACATTAAGACCGGAGGCCATAACTGCAGCTCCATCATAACACTGAGCCACTACTTTTCCCGTGCATTCACACTCATCTAAAAACTGTAGAATTTGTCCAGCCGCTGCCTCTGCTTGCTTGTCCCTAGCCACGTCCTCAAACTTAAAAAACCTCTCCTTCACACTGCTGTCAGAAACATAGCGCAGAACGTAAGACATCTGCGCAGCATTGGTGACGTCGGTTGTCTCGTCCACCATCACAGAAACGAAAGGTGCTTTCTTCAGTTCGTCCTTCATGGCCTCTGTCATGACATCTGCCACTGACTCTATCAGGTCGTTTTGAATCTTACTTGAAGTTCCAGTGAACATAGTCGCAGTGTCCAGATGACAGCGGAGAGGGGCGTCATATTCTGACAGAAAATCTAGCAGCTCCAAGTAATTCCCTTTGTTCTGAGAATCCTTGCCCCCGTCACGTCCTCTAAATGGAAGCTCTTGCTTACCCAGAAACACGACGACGTTGATAACGCGCTTCAGCATCTCCCTGTTCTGCTTGACTTTACGGTTATGCGCCAAAATCTGGTTACGACGCTGCTCATCCAGCTGAAGGTCAACTCTGGTGTCCCCGAAAGTTTTCAAGTTCACCGTAGCTTGCAGATGTGCCGCGGAATTTTGGTGCCGCTGAGCCGACTTTGTCAGGTTAGTTAGGCTAACAAACCCAGCACTAGCCCAGGTGGATGATTTGTCCGTAGTGAAGAGAAGGCAACTCCAACAGTACAGCTTGTTCATTTTCCGACAGCCTGTCATCCACGAGTACCGTTGATAATTCTCAGTTTTAAAATGCCTTACAACACCTTTAGTTTTCTCCGTTAATTCTAGTGCTGGAGTTGGTCTTCCTTTTTGAATAATGTTAATTTTTTCAACAAAAGACCGTCTTGAAAAAGGCGTTCCTATCAAGCTAGCCACATCGTTCTCATCAGCTATAGTTGAATTCACATTGAGCTGCTCTCCCCTCAGACTGGTCCACAGTTCCTCCTCTTCCTCTTTTATGTGGAGATGTTCTGGGTCCTGCTGGGCCACATCAGAACTCTGTTCTTCAGACGCTTCTTCTTTAACCAGCACTGACTTCTGAACATCAGCAGGAACCACTGAAACACATGCACAGTACAGTATGGAGGATGGTTGCTTTAGAGTCACACATAACTTGTTTTACAAAGGGTTTCTGCAGAAATCAGCCGATTTAATTTAATGCTTTTTAATGTCTGCTTAATGCAAATGTTTCAGACATTTGTATGGCTATTGACAGTAAATGCATCAACTGTACAAGTTGTTTTTAAATGGCATTTCCTATGACAGTGACAGTGAGTGCATGAACCAATACGTATTTATTTTGCTTTGATTTACAGAAGATGAGGTCATGTGCTTTACCTCCCAGCCTTTTTGTTTCTTATTTGTAACTTATAAAAACGAGCATCGTGGAAATTACAAGAACGTGGAGCAGATCTAAGCTGAGTTAATTTGGAGTACAACAAATTTAATGTGTGATGAATGTCTCCCTTGATAATTGATGATAAATTTACTCAGTTTAGTGAATCTCTCTGTTGTTAACTAATATTTTTAACTGAACACAAAGCTGCTGTGTCATCATTGTGCATGATCATTAATTTAGTCATGCACCGAAGCTCTTGAATTATTATATTATGTTTTTTTTAATTAGTATTGACCATACATTGTACGCAGGGCACAAATATCTACCAAATATGATAATACTCGTAAGTCTATCATTGCTGAACTCACCTCCCGCAGACTGGAAATAACACCCACTTTTAATTTGGTGGTCACTACTTTAAAATAATTGTGTGGCATTTTAGGCTTTCAGTTATGGAGTGTTTTACAGTACAGCAAAATTAGAAAATATTTAAATGGTTTAAGAAAACAACTCTCTAAAATCATGGTTCAGGTTCATCAGGTTCAGCTATAAACACAGAGTTACACTGGGTCATTTTAGGAAGCTAAACCATTAGCTACTAGAAAACTACTACTAAACTGAAACATAATCACATAAAGAATAAAAAGATACAAACCTATTATATGCAGTTGATTGCTGGGACTGAAAACTGCATCTAAGATTTGGCTTCCTCCAGTTGTTTCCTGTTCAAGAGCATCTCTACTTCCAAGGAAAACCTCCATTTCTTCTTCCTCTGCATCCAGATGCTGCTGGACCTGCTGTCTCCACAGTATTTACCTTCAACATTAACCGAGTAGTTACAGCTGAATAAAACTTTAAACAAAGCTCATTTGACCTGCAGCAGAGTGGAAAAGCTTTAGCTCTTCGCTACAGAACAGCAGCTGCAAGGGAATCACTTCCGCTAGAGGCCGACCTTCAAAATAAGAGCTCATATGTCATGCAGGAGGTGCACATGCAGATTAATGTTTGCCCATTTTACTGTTTCATCACTCCATGCGATTAAAGAAAAATACATGATTCCTAAAGACAATGAGGTCTGAAGCCTGTCAGAACGTGCTTGCATTGACTGCGAGTCAAATGAGACATTTCGTTCATCTAAATGTTCTGAAAACCATAAACAGCATTACCAAAAAGGACCATGCTCAATAATCCAGGTATACAATCCAACAATTTTCAATCAGGTCATCTGGGCAGTTTCTTTTTTTTTTTGTTTGCTGAAACGTTTCACCTTCCATAAACATAAATATCATTATTACGACGTGAAATCAGTTGTAACTGGACCATGCAAAGACCAGAAAAGAAAAAAAATAATAATATTCACCCCAAACAACCTTCCTTAAATAAAAATAATAATAAAATCATTAAAGCAGGAAAAAAAAATCTGTAAAAAAATAAAATAAACAGTGTTACAACAATCAAGACTATGACAATTTACCTAAACTTAAGGAATAATTATATTAAAAAGTCACAATTTCAGGGAAACTAATTTACTACGGATTGCTTCAATGTTTACACCTTAAATGTCAAATTTGGACTTTGCATGAAAGTTGATGAAGCAGGTTTCAAATCATGCTAATGCATTTTGAAACTTTAAAATAAAATAAAAATGTTTGTGCCTCTTCTGTTTACAGAACTTTCTAGGGAAGGCTGTTTAAAGATCAATCAGACCAAACCTTTCCTGTTTGTTGTGGTGACTTTAATGTAATGGAAATGATGGTTTAAACTAAGGAACTTTATCCAAGCTACTGATCCCAAGAAAATGGCTAAAGTCCTGTGTGAATTCTCATGTGTCTGTTTAAATTGCACTTTACGGTGAATGTTTGCTCACAAAAATCACAACAAAAAGGCTTCTGTCCTGTGTGGATTCTCATATGTTGGTTTAAACTTCCCTTTCTGGTAAATCTTCATTCACACAAATCACAACAAAATGTTTTCTGTCCTGTGTGGATTCTCATGGTTTTGTTTAGGCTGTCCTTTACAGTAAACCTTTGATCACACAAATTACAATAGAACGGCTTCTGTCTTGTGTGGATTCTCATGTGTTTCTTTAGACTGCTCTTTACAGTAAACATTTGGCCACAAAGTTCACAACAAAATGATTTTTCTTTTGTGTGCACCCTCATGTGTTTGTTAAAATTACCTATTAGGCTAAATCTTTGTTCATACAAATCACAACAAAACGGCTTTTCTCCTGTGTGGATTCTCATGTGTGTGTTTACATGTCCCTGTTGGCTAAACTTTCGTTCACATAGATCACAACAAAACTGCTTCCGCCCTATGTGGATTCTCATGTGTGTAATTAAATGTCCTTTTCGGTTAAACATTCGTCCACATTGATCACAAGAAAATGGCTTCTGCCCCATGTGGATCTTCATGTGTCTGTTGAATTGTCCCTTAAAGCTAAACATTCTCCCACAAACATCACAACAAAATGGCTTCTGTCCATTTTTTTTGTTGCCACTGTTTACACCTGACTCAGGAACCCTGCCAGGAGAAGACTCCCAGTCTTTATCAGTGTCTTCAGATTTTGACCCAGAGTCAGATAAAGGTTTCAGATGAGACACATAATTGTTCACATCATCATCATCATTATCATTCTCCCTGACTTCAGTTTCTGATGAGTCAGAATTGTTTTCACAAGTATTTAAATCAGGATTTCTTGTAGTTTATGCTCCTCCACAAGACCCTCCACCAGTTGCTTATTCTATGTGGTCAGCTGAGTTGCTGGTCGGAAGATCTCTGACTTCATCTTGGTGTTGATGAAGCTGAGAGAACAGAGGTTTCTCTTCATGCTCCTCACTCTTCAAAGGAACTGCAGTGAATGAAAAGCTGGTGGCACCCGTCTCCTCCTTCACATTGAGCTGCTCTCCCCCCAGAATGGTCCATAGTTCCCCCTCCTTCTCTTTTATGTGGATAAGTTCTGGGTCCTGCTGGTCCGCATCAGAACTCTGTTCTTCAGGCGCTTCTTCTTTAATCTGCACCAACTCCTTAACATCTGCAGGAACCACTGAAACACATGTTCAGTACATTATGGAGAACTGTAGCTTAATATTCACACAGATTATTTGTTTTACTGCTCAGTTTAATTAGTTTTGTTTTTAAACAAACCTGTTCCAGGGCTCTTAGCACCAGCGTTTTACTTTTCCTTCACTGTAAGCTCTGACTCTGAGTGCAACACAAAAAACAAAATGCTCTTGGCATCAACTGTTCCCACTAAAAAGCTTCAGTTCTAGACTAGGGTTGGGGCTACAGTTGGTTTTTAGTTGGCAATTGCATTTTCAACAACTAATTATGGTCATGTTTTGATGCAAGCAGACAGCAGTCATTGATTGACCAACGGAGCTACATCACTGGACTAATGGCCTGCCCAGCAAAACTGCAAACTACATCTCAACCTCCGTTTTCTTTCTAATTGAGTTGACGGACGGTGCCTCCCAAAAATGAGCACATTTATAGATATCAGAAATGCTGGCGCAGCCTGGATCCATTCAGACTTATAAACAGTACCGAGATAAACTAAAGAAACTGAAGTCCTATTATAGGGCAAATAAAGACAACAATGTTTGGAGTGGCTCAAACACAAAGACCTTTTTCGATACCACCCACTTTGCATTGATAATCCCACTCACAGAACAGGGAAATAAGTCACAGTGGCAAATCACCCACACCTGAGAAGAAGCGATAAGACGAGAGCCAAGCGGAGTCCCATTTATCAATGGCAAAGCAGCTTTAGTCTGTCCATCACTAGGGCAAACAAGGGGCTCAGAAGTGTTTGTTGATGCAGTCCCATCTTCTATACTGCTACTCACAAATAGCCACCTCTTGTCTAAATCTAGCTTTCACAATTCTCTTCTAGATTTTAATTGTGTGGCTCATCAACTTAATTCGCCTGTAGTTGCTACAACTCTGTACATCACCTTTGTTCTTAAAAATGGGCACCAGAAAACCTCTTTTTTAATCTGCAGGCATTTAGACATTCTCATAAATTCAATTAAACAATCAAGTCAAAAATCTCAATGTCATCTCTCCTAGATATTTCTAAACCTGACGTTGTCAGGTCCTGCCTTATTTTTCTTCATACATTCCATACTTAATCCTCACTTATCTTTCCCACTTCCTGGTCCACAGATTCAATGACCTCTATTTTTCTTTCCCATTCTCTTCTTTCATTAGCTCCTCCACTGGTCATAGAAGCAACAGGTCCAGGAAAGAAACCCAGACATCCCACACTCCAGCTCCTCCTGAGGGATGTCGAGGAATTCCCAGGCCAGGGTTGATACAAAATCCCTCCAGCGAGTTCCAAGTCTGCCTCTGGTCCTTTGCAGTGGGATGCATATAGAAAGCTTCCAGTGGGACATGTCTAGGAGACATCTTAATCAGATGCCAGAAGCATCGCAAATGACTCCTTTTGATATGAAGAAGCAGCCACTTGTATCCAGAATCTTGTTCTTTGGAACATAGACCAGTAAATCAAGAGCTTTATTGACTCAACTCTTTCTTCACCTCAGACTTCCTGGTGCAATGTCCTCATTACTGAGGACAAGGCCAAATACATCAATTGATCCATCTCCTGCTCCATACCTTCACTTGCGAACAAGACACTAAAATATGTAAACTCATACAACTGAGGCAAAGGCTTATCCCAGTGGAATGCCACCTGGAGGAGGCATTCCACCTGTTCTGCAAAGTACTTCATCTTTACATAACACTCTTTACACTTTTTAGAACATTGCCATTTCTATTTGTACCAATCCTAACCTGCCACATATTCTTTGTAGCTTGATCCCTGTCTTGTCAGTTGATACAAGTCATTCTCTCCCCACTTATGCTGCTTTGCCATTGGTAAGTGTGGCTCCGCTCAGCTCTCCTTGGTTACTCCCAGTTGTAGGTGATTTGCCACTACAGTAGAGGTTGGCCTACTTCCCCGCTCTGTGGGAGGGATCGTCAGTGCAATATGGGTGGTATTGTAACTGGTCTTTTTGCATTTGAGCCACTCGGCTTGTTGTGGTCTTTAATTACCCTTATCCCAGCACTGCCTATAAGTCCGGGTGTAGCCATGCTGCGCCATCATCTCCATTATCTCTCAAAAAATGCGCTCATTTCTTGTGGTGCTGTCTGTCAACATGAGGAAGTGGAGGTTCAGACTTAGTTTGCAGTTTTGCTGGGCGAGTCATCCAGTGATGTAGCTTCGCTAGCCAATCAATGGCTGCTGTCAGCTTGCATTAAAATTGGTCCCTCGGAGCAGTCCGCTTGAAATCACGAACAAGGAGGTCCCATAAACCAAGCTAAGTGGGGTGGATACTGACAGTGGAGAGGCCCTTAACTGGTGCCGTGTCGTTTAGAGCCAAGTTGAGACAGTGGCAAAGTGACAATAATGTCCAACCTATTTTGAAATATAGACATACAAAATACAGACTACAACTTTAAAATCAGTTGGTATGTAGAAAATATTGTTTTTATTAATTCAGAATTTAGGTACATCAAAGTTTCTTACAAACTTACGGCAGCAGTCTGTTATTATGATGAACTTTACAATATGTGTGTAAGTATACATGTATAAAGTAGATTTTTCCTACTGTGCTACTTCATGCCTTTGAGTTATTTCAAATGACTTTTTCCCCCAATGTGGATTCTCATGTGTCTATTTAAACTACCCATTCTGGTAAATTTTTGTTTACACAGTTCACAAGAAAAGTGCTTCTGTCCAGTGTGGATTCTCATGTGTTTGCTTAAATTGCTCTTTCCGGTAAACCTTTTTTCACATGGATCACAAGAAAAGAGCTTCTGTCCTGTGTGGATTCTTGTGTGTCTAATTAAACTACCTTTTCTGGTAAACCTTCGTTCACACAGATCACAAGAAAATGGCTTCTGTCCTGTGTGGATTCTCATGTGTGCTTTTAAATGGCACTTTTGAGTAAACTTTTGTTTACAAAGATCACAAGAAAAGGGTTTCTGTCCAGTGTGGATTCTCACGTGTTTGCTTAAATTGCTCTTTCGGGTAAACATTTTTTCACAAAGATCACAAGAAAAGGGTTTCTGTCCTGTGTGGATTATCATGTGTTTGTTTAAACTGCTCTTTTCAAAAAACCTACGTTCACACAGATCACAAGAAAATGGTTTCTCTCCAGTGTGCATTCTCATGTGTTTCTGTAAAATGCTGGTTTGAGAAAACCTTTGTTCACACAGATCACAAGAAAAGGGCTTCTGTCCTGTGTGGATTCTCATGTGTTTCTTTAAACTGCTCTTTTCAGAAAACCTTCGTTTACACAGATCACAACAAAATGGCTTCTGTCCTGTGTGGATAATCATGTGTGTTTTTAAATTGCCCTTTCTGGTAAACCTTTGTTCACACAGATCACATGAAAATGGCTTCTGTCCATTTTTGTCCACAGCACTTCCATCTAACTCAGGGATGCTGCTGGAAAAAAACTCCCAGTTTTTATCAGTGTCTTCAGTTTTTGACCTACAGTCTGATAAGTGTTTCTCGTGAGAGTCAGGATTATTCACATCATCATCCTCACTGACTTCAGTTTCTGATGAGTCAGAATTGTCTTCACAACTATTTAGATCTGGATTTTTTGTAGTTTTTGCTCCTCCACAGGACCCTCCACCAGTTGCTGATTCCATGTGGTCAGCTGAGCTGCTGGTCAGAAGATCGCTGACTTCATCTTGGTGTTGAAGCTGTGAGAACAGAGGTTTCTCTTCATCATCTTCACTCTTCAAATGAACTGCAGTGAATGAAAAGCTGGTAACATCTGTCTCCTCCTTCACACTGAGCTGCTCTCCCTGCAGACTGGTCCACTGTTCCTCCTCTTCCTCTTTTATGTGGATGAGTTCTGGGTCCTGCTGGTCCACAGGCACTTCTTCTTTAATCTGCACCAACTCCTTAACATCTGCAGGAACCACTGAAACACATGTTCAGTACATTATGGAGAACTGTAGCTTTATATTCACACAGATTATTTGTTTTACTGCTCAGTTTAATTAGTTTTTGTTTTTAAACAAATCCGGTTCCAGGGCTTTTAACAGCAGTGTTTTACTTTCCTACACTGTAAGCTCTGAGTGCAACACAAAAAACTAAATGCTCTTAGCACCAACTGCTTTAGGGTTTTCCCACTAAAAAGCTTCAGTTCAAGACTAGGGCTGAGGCTAAAGTTGGTTTTTAGTTGGCAACTGCGTTTTCAACAACTGATTATGGTCACGTGTCTGCTGGTGTCAAAATTGACATGACCATGGTAGACCACCAAGCTACCACAGTCCTATATGACAAACAAGTGCTGGTTTGAATTATTAAAAGGGTTGTTTGAATGCTACAGGCAGCTTGGTTTGCACTTTTATGTTCCTTCTTCTAGTCATAAACATATACATTAAGATGATGTCATTTCTAATGAGGAATTGAACAAAATTCACTTCAACGTTTTATTCCTTTCAAGAAAACAGATCACAAGTATGAGACAAAAAAAAAAAAAAGTCTATGAACTGTTTATTGGAAAAAAAATTATAAGTATGATATTACATGTTCTTATTGGCTACCTACATTCATTTTTAATTAATTAACATCTGTAAACCGTAACCGTATGAGATAACCGAAATAGACACTAACAGTCAAAGCAATTGGAAAAATTTGGATTAATTGGGAACCCAAGTTCATTGTTTTTGTACACCGGATCCCAGTTACATCCAACAAAAGTAAACAATTTAAAGAAAAACAGTAATAAGATCTAAGATATGAACTAAGAAATATGCTACTAAGAATACGCTAAATACTAATACTGCAAAAACAATATGACGAACAACAGCAGCATGAACATTAGTCTGTGTGAGTAGATGAGTGCGAATTAATATAGCACCATGAAATAAATCAGCAGCATGAGATCAGTAGCATGAGCCCGGACACACGCTTTATAAGCTAGAGCAAAATTTTCATCACTCAAACTGCATGAACAGCAGAATCCACCCAATAAAAAATGTTGTGAAATAAATTCCTTGCTACATCATACTGAGAAAAATGAAAAAAATACCCCTGGGGGCCAATGATGAATGCAATATTTGGCAAACATACTACACCAGCAGAAGGTGAAAGTCAGCCGTGACACTGAGATTGTGTCAAACCTACAAATACTATCAGAGACCAGAACCCTCTCTGTGACATGACGTCTTCCACAGTCTCAGCAAAGAAACAATTATCAACACCTCAGTTTTACCTCAACGTAAACGCTGGTATATAAAAATATTATACAACTGATTAAATTGGCCTATTCTTATTATCTAATATTTTGACATGCTTTAAAAAAAATTACAAATACTTTGTTGAAAATGAAAAATATCTTAAATACCATGGCCCTTCCACCCCCCATTTTATTCACGTTGTTTCCATCCATCCAACACCACCCCCCCGGACTATTTTTTAACATTCTGGGTCGCAGTGATGTGTGCAAGAGGAGGTGCACCCTGGTCAGGTCACAAGACCATCCCAGGGCTAGAAACAGGACTAGATGGCTCTTTGAAGGGAACCAGATCTTGACGATCCGACAGTGATGTCATCACGTACGGATTAGGCACGTGCTCAGGGCGGTACATTTTAGAGAAGCGGATGTTGAATCATGCGCAGTAAAATATTATGTAAATATATACATATGTCTATCAGAAGTGTTGTAAAACCTATTTCAGGTTGTAACCTCTCAAATTGCTTCATCTGTTAGCAAGCTAAGCTATAAACACAGTTGCACGTGTCCTTTCTAAGAAGCTACACTAACATAATCACATTCCATAGAAAGAATAAAAAGCTACGAACCTATTATACGCAGTTCATCGTTGGGACTGAAAACTGCATCTAAGATTTGGCTTCTTCCAGTTTTTTCCTGTTCAAGAGCATCTCTACTTCCAAAAACCTCCGACATTTCGTCCTCCTCTGCATCCAGGTGCTGCTGGACCTGCTGTCTCCACATCTGTTAGGTGTCGTTCATCAACATTTACCGAGAAGTTACCGATGATGACTATAACTTCGGATTAAACTAACTTGACCAGGAGTCGAGGGAAAGGGGCTTTAATTTTGTCATAACAGAACTGAGAGAAATGACGAAATGAAGCTGATCAGCTTCCGCTGCTAGGATGTTACTTCCGTTAGTGGCTGACCTTCAAAATAAGAGCTCCCACGTGACCAGCTCCATCTATCCAATTAAAGGATTATTAATCTTAGAAAGGTGATGTAAACTACTTTAATAATTGAAACTTGGAATTAATAAAATATTTTGTTTGTTTTTATAGAAATGTTTTTTGTAAAATGCCCTGAAGAATTTTTCATTAATAACAGCTCTAAACAAACTCCAGGATGATAAAAAATCCAGGTTTTGAAAGTGTAACTTTTTGATAAGGCATAAAAAGCATATTTGATTTTTATACCACAACGTCCTACTGTGCTGTTGTCATTTGCTTTTTGCTACACCAAGCCTTGTTTTATTATTCATAATCTTTTGTTTTAAATTTGAAACATTTAGTCATCTGTACAAAAGCAATACGCTGCCATACTTCTGTTGTGCTTGACCAAATTTTAACAATTATTGTGGATATTAACATTTTTTATACATATTAACAGATATTTTGCCAGCAGTATTTTTTCTTAATAATTGGGTTTGGGTGCAGGTTTTTTTTTTTAAACAATAACATATGTTTATAATTTTGTAAGAAAAAAGCAATTTAAATTAACATCTAAATTGTACTTTTAAACAATCTGTCAATCTCTGTGTCCTTCACAATGACATAAAGGTGTTACAGAAAGTCAAGTCATTTTCAGTCAGTAACCTGAGTCAGTAAGTTGATTTTTTTGACTATATTTAAGTTGCTTTCTCACATTGCTTCATTAAATGTCAGAATTTTAATAATATAATATTTTTTATTTTGCTTTTATTTATTTATATTTTGCTTCCCTCTTCCCAGAATAATTACAATATTTCACATTTTAGTATCTGAACATTTTTCTAATCCACCAATCAATTGCCCTTTTGCTAAAAAAAAAAAACGAAAAAAGCTTGAATTATTCATCCATAACTCTTTGGGTGATTTGTTACATGTAAAGAAACCTTCCGAAATGTGAAGTACATCGTCCTTTACGTTAATTTGATGTAAAATCAAGAGTTTTAACTAGCTTAAGAACCTTAAGAGTGATAAGAATAAACCAAGCTAACATCTGAGCTAGCCTAACTTTATTATTATTGTTTATGTTTATTATTTATTTTTGTTACAGATTTCTTCTTTTTCCTCACGGCTGCTCCCGTTTCAGGGGTCACCTCAGAAATTCATCCTCCTTCATCTCTCTCTGTCCTCACTCCAACTTCGTTCATGTCCTGTCTCACTGCAACAATATTTATTCTCTTTGTCTTTTTCTGGGCAGCTGCATTTAATAATAATAATAATAATAATAATATTTCCCCAGGTACTTTGGTTTCCTCCAACAGACCAAAAAGATTCATGTTAGACTAACTGGTAACTCTAAATTGTCCTTAGAGTGAGAGAGTGAATGTTTTTTTTTTTCGATTGTCTCTGTCCCTGTGATGGATTGCGACCTGTCCAGGGTGTATCCTGCATCTCACACAGTGGCTGGACATGAGCACCAGCAACCCCCGCGATCCGAAAAGGAAGAAGCGGGTAAAGATAATGGATGGATAATAATGATAATAATAACTTTATTCACCGCAGCTGCAACAAAGTGCTGCTATATGTAAAACAAAACAATCAAGAACATTTAAAATGCATTAAAAGAAAAAAACTGTAAACCCACTAAAACAATAAAAATTGTAGTTCAGAGCAGGTCTCAGGATGTGCCAAAAACCAGGGAATAAAAATGCGTTTTTAAGAGTTTTTTATTTTTTTTTTCTAACATCCTTCTACCTAAATACTGTCCCTCCTCTGGACATGTCCAAACCATCTCAGTCTGGCCTCTCTAATTTTATCTTCTGCAGTTGTTCAACCTGTGCTGTACCTCTTATGAACTCATTCCTAAACTTATCCATCCTTGTCACTGGTGAACCTCAACATCTTCATTTCTGCCACTTCCACTTCTTTCTCCTGTATTTTTGTCAATGCCACTTTCTCCTCCAGACCATAACACACTGGTCTCACTACTGTCTTTTAAACATTTCTGTTGACCTTTGCTTCTTGTAGCTTCATTGTTCCACTCAAGTGTATACCTCTACCTCTCTAAGTTTTCTTCCACCTGTTCCCTGCTCTCACCACATATCACAATGTCATCTACAAACGTCATTCCACAGAGATCCCTGCCTGACCTCATCTGTTATGGCACTTTGCCACTATCTCAACTCTGATTGGTTCCGCAATGCAATGCAACGCAGAGCACCAGTGAAGGACCTACCCACTACCCATGAAAAAATTAACACATTTACTGAGAGATATCAGAAATGATGGTGCAGCCGGGTTACACCCAGACTTATAAGCAGTGCCGAGATAAACTAAAGAAACTGAAGTCTGATTATAGGGTGATTAAAGGTTCAGACGTTGTTTGCAGTTTTGCTGGGCGAGTCTTCCAGTGATGTAGCTTCGCTAGCCAATCAATGGCTGCTGTCAGTTTGCATTAAAATTGGTCCCTCGGAGCAGCCTGCTTGAAATCACGAACAAGGTGGTCCCATAAACCAAGCTGAGTGGGGTGGATACAGACAGTGGAGACGCCCTTAACTGGTGCCGTGTCATGCAGAGCCAAGTTGAGACAATGGCAAAGTGCCAATAATGTTCAACCTCTTTTGTAATATAGACATACAAAATACAGAGTACAACTTGAAAATCTGTTGGTAAGTAGAAAATATTTGATATTTTTTATTAATTCGGAATTTAGGTACATCAAGTTTCTTACATACAGTGAAGAAAATAAGTATTTGAACACCCTGCGACTTTGCAAGTTCTCCCACTTAGAAATCATGGAGGGGTCTGAAATTTTCATCTTAGGTGCATGCCCACTGTGAGAGACATAATCTTAAAAAAAAATTTGAGAAATCACAATGTATGATTTTTTAAATAATTTATATGTGTGTTACAGCTGCAAATAAGTATTTGAACACCTGTCAATCAGCAACAGTTCTAGCCCTCAAAGACTTATTAGTCCGCCTCTAAAAAGTCTACCTCCACTCCACTTATTATTTTACATTAGAAGCACCTGTTTGAGATTGTTAGCTGCATAAAGACACCTGTCCACCCCACACAATCAGTAAGACTCCAACTACTAACATGGCTAAGACCAAAGAGCTGTCCAAAGACACCAAAGACAAAATTGTAGCCCTCCACAAGGCTGGAAAGGGCAACAGGGCAATTGCCAAGCAGCTTGGTTAAAAACAATTAACTGTTGGAGCAATTATTAGAAAATGGAAGAAGTTAAACATGACTGTCAATCTCCCTCGGACTGGGGCTCCAGGCAAGATCTCACTTCGTGGTGTATCAATGATCTTAAGAAAGGTGAGGAATCAGTCTAGAACTACATGGGAGGAGTTGGTCAATGACTTGAAGAGAGCTGGCACCACTGTTTCCAACGTTAATGTGGGTAATAAACTAAGACGTCATAGTTTAAAATCATGCATGACATGGAAGGTTCCCCTGCTTAAATTAGCACAAGTCCAGGCCCGTCTTAAGTTTGCCCATGACCATTTGGATGATCCAAAGGAGTCATGGGAGAAAGTTATGTGGTCAGATGAGACCAAAATAGAACTTTTTGGTCTTAATTCCACTTGCTGTGTTCGGAAGACGAAGAATGAGGAGTACCATCCCAAAAACACCATCCCTACTGTGAAGCATGGGGGTGGAAGCGTCATGCTTTGGGGGATGTTTTTCTGCACATGGGACAGGATGACTACACTGTATTAAGGAGAGGATGACTGGGGCCATGTATTGCAAGATTTGGGGGAACAACCTCTGTCTCTCAGAGCATTGAAGATGGGTCATGGCTGGGTCTTCCAACATGACAATGACCCGAAGGACACAGCCAGGATAACCAAGGAGTGGCTTCTTAAGAAGCATATCAAGGTTTTGGAGTGGCCTAGCCAGTCTCCAGACCTAAACCCTATAGAAAATCTTTGGAGGGAGCTCAAACTCCGCATTTCTCAGCGACAGCCCAGAAACCAGGCTGATCTAGAGAAGATTTGTGTGGAGGAATGGGCCAAAATTCCTTCTGCAGTGTGTGCAAACTAAGAATGCGCAATATATACAGTACATGGTAGAAACAATAAGACATTTAGCTTATGATAGAGATCTGCCTTCTCCCGGCCAACCGCAGTAATGCTGTGTCTGATGTAAAATCAGAGTCGTCAGTTTAATCGTTCCATTTTTTAGTTGAAAACTGTACGTAAGTGGTGTTAAAGTGTAAAATCAGTGTTTTCAGATTTAATCATTACTTTTTTTTAGTTGAAAACTGTGCGTAAGTGGTGTTAAAGTCTTTTCTTTGAGAGCTAAGTAGCGAAGCTACAAGCTAACTACGGCCGGCTTGCCGTAGTGTTGCCGTATTTAGACGCATGCGCAAAACTCTGTGTTCCATCGAAAGTTTTTCTTTTTCCATCGAAAGTTAAAGTAAGTGTTGGTCAGCTTTAGAGAAACCTGCTCTCTGATCTGTGAAAAGAACGCTGTGTTGTGTGATTTTACTGAGAGACCATCTGGTCAAAGCCACAGACTCATTTTGTGTCAGCTCTCAAAGGAGACGACCACTAGAGGGTTGGAGGGTTAAGTGTTTCAGTGAGCACTTGCTGCTCTGTTACTGTTCATTTCTTAAGTGAGAAGACTGGAAACTGTTAAGAGTTAACAACATATTATTTTGTTTAAAACATATGGCTAAAACTACATTTGATATATTTTGCACTGTTTCGCACTACAAGAAAGAAGCCTAATACTTGATTTGTTTATTATTTTAAAACTCTCTGGACCTAGTAGTGGAATTTTCTTAATTGAGATTTTGTGGTAAAGCAGTTTTCAAAATAAATGATGGCTAAAGGACACCCTATGCTTTTTTTATTCCTATTGCAAGTTTGATACCAAAAACATATTGTGATATATATAGTTATCGCCACCCTTCACAATACATATTGTAGTGTGATATGAGCCTGGATATACAAACCGGATTGTTGGGACACTAAACAAATTGTGAATAAAAACTGAATGCAATGATGTGGAGGTGACAACATCTAATATTTTACTCAGAATAGAACACAAATCACAGATCTGACAGATAAAAAACAGGAGCAAGTTGCAGTAATTGAGCTTGGATGTTATGAATGCATTTATTTCTGTCTCCAGGTTATCTAAGTGGGAATACTTGCAAAGTCGTAGGGTGTGCAAATACTTATGTTCCTCACTGTACTTACAGATGCAGTTTGTGGTTATGATAAACTTTACAATATGTGTGTATGTATACATGTATAAAATAGATTTTTCCTACTGTGATGCTTATGCCTAGGAGTTATTTCAAATGACTTTTTCCCCCAATATGGATTCTCATGTGTCTGTTTAAACTATCTATTCTGGTAAACCTTTGTTTACACAAATCACAACAAAATGGCTTCTGTCCTGTGTGGGTTCTCTTGTGTGTGTTTAAACTACCCATTCTGGTAAACCTTTGTTCACACAAATCACAACAAAATGGCTTCTCTCCTGTGTGGGTTCTCATGTGTGTGCTTAAATGGCCTTTTTGGGCAAACTTTTGTTTACAAAGATCACAAGAAAAGGGCATCTGTCCAGTGTGGATTCTCATGTGATTCTTTAAACTGCCCATTGCAGAAAACCTTTGTTTACACAGATCACAACAAAATGGTTTCTGTCCTGTGTGGATTATCATGTGTTTGTTTAAACTGCCCTTTTCAGAAAACCTTTTTTCACACAGATCACAAGAAAAAGGCTTCTGTCCTGTGTGGATTCTCATGTGTTTGTTTAAATGGCTCTTTTCAAAAAACCTTTTCTCACACAGATCACAAGAAAAGGGTTTCTGTCCTGTGTGGATTTTCATGTGTTTTTTTAAACTGCCCTTTACAGTAAACCTTTGTTTACACAGCTCACAACAAAATGGCTTCTGTCCTGTGTGTTTAATCATATGTGTTTTTAAATAGTTCTTTCTGGTAAACATTTGTTCACACAGATCACAAGAAAAGGGCTTCTGTCCTGTGTGGATTATCATGTGTTTGTTTAAATCGCTCTTTTCAAAAAACCTTTTTTCACACAGATCACAACAAAATGGCTTATGTCCTGTGTGGATTATCATGTGTCTGTTTAAATTGCTTTTTTCTAAAAACCTTTTTTCACACAGATCACAAGAAAAGGGCTTCTGTCCTGTATGGATTCTCATGTGTCTGTTTAAAGTGCCCTTTTCTAAAAACCTTTGTTTACACAGGTCACAACAAAATGGTTTCTGTCCTGTGTGTTTAATCATGTGTGTCTTTAAATGGTTCTTTCTGGTAAACTTTCGTTCACACAAATCACAAGAAAATGGCTTATTTCCTGTGTGTTTAATCATGTGTGTTTTTAAATTTTCCTTTCTACTAAATCTTTGTTCACACAGATCACAACAAAATGGCTTTTGTCCTGTGTGGATTATCATATGTTTGTTTAAACTGCTCTTTTCAAAAAACCTTTGGTCACACAGATCACAAGAGAATGGCTTCTGTCCTGTGTGGATTATCATATGTTTGTTTAAACTGCTCTTTTCAAAAAACTTTTTTTCACACAGATCACAAGAAAAGGGTTTCTGTCCTGTGTGGATTCTCATGTGTTTCTTTAAACTGCCTTTTTCAGAAAACCTTTGTTTACACAGATCACAACAAAATGGCTTCTGTCCTGTGTGTTTAATCACGTGTGTTTGTAAATGGTTCTTTCTGGTAAATCTTTGTTCACACAGATCACAAGAAAATGGCTTTTGTCCATTTTTGTCCACAGCATTTCCATCTACCTCAGGGATGCTGCTGGGAAAAGACTCCCAGTTTTTATCAGTGTCTTCAGTTTTTGACCTAAAGTCTGATAAGTGTTTCTCGTGAGAGTCAGGATTATTCACATCATCATCATCCTCACTAACTTCAGTTTCTGAAGAGTCAGAATTGTCTTCACAACTATTTAGATCTGGATTTTTTGTAGTTTTTCCTCCTCCACAGGACCCTCCACCAGTTGCTGATTCTATGTGGTCAGCTGAGCTGCTGGTCAGAATATTGCTGACTTCATCTTGGTGTTGATGAAGCTGTGAGAACAGAGGCTTCTCTTCATCTTCCTCACTCTTCAAATGAACTGTAGTGAATGAAAAGCTGGTGACATCTGTCTCTTCCTTCACATTGAGTGGCTCTACCCCAAGACTGGTCCACTGTTCTTCCTCTTTGATGTGGAGGCAATTTAAGCCCTGCTGGTCCACATCAGGCCACTGTTCTTCAGGAGCTTCTTTAATCAGCACTGACTTCTGAACATCTGCAGGAACCACTGAAACACATGTACAGTACATTAGGGAGAATTGTAGCTTTTTATTCAAATACATCATTTGTTTTAGTGCTCAGTTTAATTAGTTTTTTTTTATTAAGTTCCAGTGCTAAACCAGAGCCACAGCTCTTAGCACCAGCACTTTCATTTCCATACATGGTGAGATCTGGATTTAAAGGGATCCCAGACTATTTGCACATGTTGGCTTTAATATGGGATGTCTCTATTCTACTTAAAGCTATTTATCTTGTTTTTCTGTGTTTATCTCCACTAGGGGGTCTATTTCATTGTATGTACTGAGTATGTTGGGAGAGGAAGGTGGTTACTTAAGGCCAGGTGTGATTCTGTTCAGGTTTTGGGTCATTCCACCGAATGGGTGCCATTTGCTTGTAATAACTCTCCAAAATTGAATATATGTTTTTACATGCTTTTTTAAACTGGATCTAGTAATGTACATATCTAACTATTCAATTTGGCGCTTTCTACTGGTAGGCTTTAAATATGACCGGAAACTGAAATTCTATCACAGTCTCCCTAGAGCTCTGCTGTGGTAAGTCATACAGTCTGGATCTCTTCTCAAAAAAAAAAGCTCACGAGACAGTATGTCTGATGTTATTTTTCTTAGAGATATTTGTGTCAGTACAGGAGCTGATCACTATGTTTATGCTCTGAACCACTCATTTACAGGTCATTAATTGTGTTATACTAAATGCTCTGAGTTTTAATTTTTTTTAATACAAAACATCTAGAATGTTCATAAACTTATCATAAGATTTGTTCACATCATCAACATACACATCTTCTCAATTTTGTTTATCTAAATCATCTTTAAATTTGTCTAATGCTTTTTTGGATGTGTTTATTTTTTTTAATTCTTTCTTATAACTGGTTTTATATAAATTTCATCATTTTTGTAAATTGTGAAAATTGGTAAATGATCACTTAAATCTTAAATCAGTCATCAGAATACCACCTATCACATCACCATCTGTGATATTATTATATCACAGATGGTGTAGTTTGTAACTTCTCATAAGCCATTTCATTTGTTAGCAAACTAAGCTATAAAAACAAAGTTACACTTTTTCTTCTATGAAGCTGAATCCATAGCTACCAGAAAACTGCAACTAAACATAATCACATTCACATTAAAATAATAAAAAGATACAAACCTATAATATGCAGTTGGTTGGGACTGAAAGCTGCATCTAAGACTTGGTTTCCTTCAGGTTTTTCCTGTTCGAGAGCTGCGCTACTTCCAAAACCCTCCGACATTTCTTCCTCCTCTGCATCCAGGTGCTGTTTAAGCTGCTGTCTCCACTTCTCTTCCGTTCATCAACGTTTACCGAGCTGTTACAGCTGAATATAACTTCAAACTACTATGACCAGCAGCAGAGAAGAAAAGAGCTGAGCGCATCACTCCACAGGAATATTTCACAGAGAAACATGCGAAAGAAACAGAACAGCTTCCGCTCGCTGCAGTGAGTCATTTCCGTTATCAGCTGGCCTTCAAAATAAGAGCTCAAACGGAACTGTTCTTCAGCACTTGTGTGCGTTCACAGAGCAACTTGTACATTTCAGTGAATTCAGACCCATCCATTCCTCCATTATCTTTTACCCGCTTCTTCCTTTTTGGGTCACGGGGGTCACTGATGCCCATGTTCGGCCATCACTGTGTGAGAGGCGGGGTACACCAAGGACAGTCTCTAGTCCATCACAGGGACACATAGAGACAAACAAGACAAACAGCTATCCACTCTCTCACTCACACCTATGGACATTTTTAGACTTACCAATTAGCCTAACTTGCATGTTTTTGGTCTGTGGGAGGAAACCGGAGTACCCGGAGAAAACACACGCATGCACCGAGAGAACATGCAAACTCCACCCAGAAAGGCCCACCGACCAGACCAGGATTATTGAACAACTTGATCGCTGAGAGCCAGGAAAATTCAGTTTTTAAAATTTAATCTTTGTTGATCAGACATATAAAAAAAACATAAGTGATTTTATTTACACCCCAACAACCTACTGAGCATGTCAGCATTTTTTTTTTTTTTCCGTATAAAGCACCTTGTTTTTACAAACCGGATTCCAAAAAAGTTGGGACACTGAACAAATTGTGAATAAAAACTGAATGCAATGGTGTGGAGGTGCCAACATCTAATATTTTATTCAGAATAGAACACAAATCACAGATCAAAAGTTTAAACTGAGAGAATGTATCATTTTAAGGGAAAAATCTGTTGTTTCCAAATTTCATGGTGTCAACAAATCCCAAAAAAGTTGGGACAAGTCCATTTTTACCACTGTGTGGCATCCCCCTTCTTCTTACAACACTCAACAGACGTCTGGGGACAGAGGAGACCAGTTTCTCAAGTTTAGAAATGGGAATGCTCTCCCATTCATGTCTAATACAGGCCTCTAACTGTTCAATCGTCTTGGGCCTTCTTTGTCGCACCTTCCTCTTTATGATGCCCCAAATGTTCTCTATAGGTGAAAGATCTGGACTGCAGGCTGGCCATTTCAGTACCCGGATCCTTCTCCTATGTAGCCATGATGTTGTGATTGCTGCAGAACGTGGTCTGGCATTATCGTGTTGAAAAATGCAGGGTCTTCCCTGAAAGAGATGACGTCTAGATGGGAGCATATGTTGTTCTAGAACCTGAACATAGTTCTCTGCATTAATGGTGCCTTTCCAGACATGCAAGCTGCCCATGCCACAAGCACTCATGCAACCCCATACCATCAGTGATGCAGGCTTCTGAACGGAGCGTTGATAACAACTTGGGCTATCCTTGTCCTCTCTGGTCCAGATGACATGGCGTCCCAGTGTTCCATAAAGAATTTCAAATCGTAAATCATCTGACCACAGAACAGTCTTCCATTTTGCCACACTCCATTTTAAATGACCCCTGGCCCAGTGCAAACCTCTGAGCTTGCTTAGAAATGGCTTCCTCTTTGCACTGTAGAGTTTCAGCTGGCAACGGCGGATGGCACGGTGGATTGTGTTCACTGACAATGCTTTCTGGAAGTATTCCTGAGCCCATTCTGTTATTTCCTTGACAGTGGCATTCCTGTTTGAGGTGCAGTGACGTTTAAGGGCCCGGAGATCACGAACATCCAGTAGAGTTTTATGGCCTTGACCCTTACGCACAGCGATTGTACCAGATTCTCTGAATCTTTTGATGATGTTATGCATGGTTGATGATGATAACTTAAAAGTCTTTGCTATTTTACGCTGGGTAACACCATTCTGGTATTGCTGCATTATTTTTCTGCGCAACAATGGTGGAATTGGTGATCCTCTTACCATCTTGGCTTCTGAGAGACACTGACACTCTGAGAAGCTCTTTTTATACCCAATCATGTTGTCAATTGACCTAATTAGTGTTAATTGGTCTTCCAGCTGTTCGTTATGTGCTCAACTGGTGCCATGTCATACAGAGCCAAGTTGAGACAGTGGCAAAGTGACAATAATGTCCAAACTCTTTTGTAATAAAGACATACAAAATACAGAGAACTTTAAAATCATTTGTTATGTAGAAAATATTTGACAATTTTTATTAATTCAGAATTTAGGTACATAAAAGTTTCTTACAAACTTACAGATGCAGTCTGTTGTTATGAACTTTACAGTATGTGTGAAAGTATACATGTATAAAATAATTTTTCCTACTGTGCTGCTTCATGCCTTTGAGTTATTTCAAATTAATTTTTCCCCCCAGTGTGGATCCTCATGTGTCTTCTTAAACTACTCATTCTGGAAAACCTTTGTCCACACAAATCACAACAAAATGGCTTCTCTCCTGTGTGGGTTCTCATGTGTGTGTTTAAATGATATTTTAGGGGAAAACGTCGTTCACACAGATCACAAGAAAAGGGCTTCTGTCCTGTGTGGATTCTCATGTGTTTCTTTAAACTGCCCTTTTCGGAAAACCTATGTTTACACAGATCACAAGAAAATGGCTTCTGTCCTGTGTGTTTAATCATGTGCGTTTTTAAATGGTCCTTTCTGGCAAACCCTTGTTCACACAGATCACAAGAAAATGGCTTCTCTTCTGTGTGGATTCTCATGTGTGTGCTTAAATGGCCTTTTTGGGAAAACTTTTGTTTACAAAGATCACATGAAAAGGGCTTCTGTCCAGTGTGGATTCTCATGTGTTTGTTTAAATTGCTCTTTTCAAAAAACCTTTTATCACACAGATAACAAGAAAAGGGCTTCAGTCCTGTGTGGATTATGATGTGTTTGTTTAAATTGCCCTTGTCAAAAAAACTTTTTTCACACAGATTACAAGAAAAGGGCTTCTGTCCTGTGTGGATTATCATGTGTTTGTTTAAATTGTCCTTTCTGGTAAACCTTCGGTCACACAGATCACAAAAAAATGGCTTTTGTCCATTTTTGTCAACAGCATTTCCATCTAACTCAGGGATGCTGCTGGGAAAAGACTCCCAGTCTTTATCAGTGTCTTCAGTTTTTGACCTACAGTCTGATAAGTGTTTCTCATGAGAGTCAGGATTATTCACATCATCATCATCCTCACTGACTTCAGTTTCTGAAGAGTCAGAATTGTATTCACAACTATTTAGATCTGGATTTTTTGTAGTTTCTGCTCCTCCACAGGACCCTCCACCAGTTGCTGATTCTATGTGGTCAGCTGAGCTGCTGGTCAGAAGATCACCGACTTCATCTTGGTGTTGATGAAGCTGTGAAAACAGAGGTTTCTCTTCATCACCCTCACTCTTCAAAGGAACTGTAGTGAATGAAAAGCTGGTGACATCTGTCTCTTCCTTCACATTGAGTGGCTCTCCCCCCAGACTGGTCCACTGTTCCTCCTCTTCCTCTTTTATGTGGAGGCAATTTACGTCCTGCTGGTTCACATCAGGCCACTGTTCTTCAGGAGCTTCTTCTTTAATCAGCACTGACTTCTGAACATTTGCAGGAACCACTGGAACACATGTAAAATACAGTAAGGAGAACTGTAGCTTTATATTCAAATACATCATTTGTTTTAGTGCTCAGTTTAATGAGATTTTTATAATTCAGTTCCAGTGCTAAACCAGAGCCAGAACTCTTAGCACCAGCACTTTCATTTCCCTACATGGTGAGATCTGGATTTAAAGGGATCTCAGACTATTTGTTAGTGTTGTATTCAAGACCACCTAACCCAAGACAAAGTCAAGACCAAGACTTTTAGGGTCTGAGACCAAATCAAGACCAAGACCTCAAATAAAATAAATATAAAATTTTATTTAAAAATATATTTTTATAAAAGTTACATACTGCAACTTTGTTTGCTTTTGAATGAATGCATCAGCTTATATAAATTTTCAAAGCTACATAAATAAATCAGACATTCAGTGGCCTAACTTCATGTGATTCAACAATAAAATTACACAACCATTAAATTGGAAGCAGTTTCATCACATGCCAAACCTTAAAAAGCTGCAGTGGCAAAACACTCTTCATAAGTCCAAACTCAAGACCAAAGGATAACCATATAGTTGCACAGTGGTTTCAATACAGTAGTAGATACACCTATAAAGTTACATAAATGAAAATTAGTTTAAAGTAAGGTTTTAGAAATTGTGAAGAAAACTTCCAGCAGGAGGTGTCCAGGAGACATCCTAATCAGATGCCTGAACCATCTCAAATTACTTATTTTGATATTAAGACGCAGCCACTTGTATCGAGTCTTATTCTTTGGAAGATGGACCAGTAAATCAAGAGCTTTGCCATTTGACTCAACTCTTTCTTCAGCCAGACCAGGGCTTAATTTGTAAACCGATTGATGCAAGAACACAGATGGCAGGCAGTCTGGCAGGGCGGGTATGGGGGTTGTGTGTGTGTGTAGGGGGGGGGGGGGGGGTCTGTCCCAAAAAATTTTGGAATAAAAGAGATGCCATTTCCTGTATGTTGGTGTATTTTAACAGGTTAGTATAATATATGTTAATTCATCCACATGAGGTAAAAGGTCCTCCCAGTGGAATGCCACCTGGAGGGGGTATTCCACTTGTTCTGCAAAGTACATCATTTTTACATAACACACTTTACATTTTTTAGAACATTGCCATTTCTACCTGTACCAATCCTAACCTGCCACATATTCTTTGCAGCCTATTCCCTGTCTTGTCAGTTGATACAAGTTGTTATCTCCCCACTTATGCTGCTTTGCCATTGGTAAGTGTGTCTCCACTCCATTCAGCGCTCCTTGGTTATTCCCAGTTATAGGTGATTTGCCACTACAGTGGAGGTTGACCTGCTTTGCCGCACTGTGGGAGGGATCCTCAGTGCAATTTGGGTGGTATCGTAACTGGTCTTTTGTATTTGAGCCACTCCGCTCGTTGTGCTCTCCAGTTGCCCTATAATCTGACTTCAGTTTCTTTAGCTTATCTCGGCACTGCCTATAAGTCCAGGTGTAGCCATCCTGTGCCATCAGTTCCATTATCTCTCAATAAATGCACTCATTTCTTGTGGCGCCGTCCGTCAACACGAGGAAGTGGAGGTTCAGAGTCAGACGTTGTTTGCAGTTTTGCTGGGCGAGTCATCCAGTGATGTAGCTTTGCTAGCCAATCAATGGCTGCTGTCTGCTTGAATCAAAATTGGTCCCACAGAGCAGCCCGCTTGAAATCACGAACAAGGAGGTCCCATAAACCAAGCTGAGTGGGGTGGATACCAACAGTGGAGAGGCCCTTAACTGGTGCCATGTCGTACAGAGCCAAGTTGAGACAGTGGCAAAGTGACAATAATGTCCAGACTCTTTTGTAATAAAGACATACAAAATACAGAGATCAACTTAAAAATCAGTTGGTATGTATAAAATATTTGATAATTTTTATTAATTCAGAATTTAGGCATGTAAAAGTTTCTTACATAGTTACAGATGCAGTCCGTTGTTATGAACTTTACAATATGTGTGAAAGTATACATGTATAAAATAGAATTTTCCTACTGTGCTGCTTCATGCCTTTGAGTTATTTCAAATGACTTTTTCCCCCAGTGTGGATCCTCATGTGTCTTCTTAAACTACTCATTGTGGAAAACCTTTGTCCACACAAATCACAACAAAATGGCTTCTCTCCTGTGTGGGTTCTCATGTGTGTGTTTAAATGATATTTTAGGAGAAAACTTCGTTCACACAGGCCACAAGAAAAGGGCTTCTGTCCTGTGTGGATTCTCATGTGTTTCTTTAAACTGCCCTTTTCAGAAAACCTATGTTTACACAGATCACAAGAAAACGGCTTCTGTCCTGTGTGGGTTATCATGTGTTTCTTTAAATTGCCCTTTTCAGAAAACCTATGTTTACACAGATCACAAGAAAATGGCTTCTGTCCTGTGTGTCTAATCATGTGTATTTTTAAATGGTCCTTTCTGGTAAACCTTCGTTCACACAAATCACATGAAAACGGCTTTTGTCCATTTTTGTCTACAGCATTTCCATCCAACTCAGGGATGCTGCTGGGAAAAGACTCCCAGTTTTTATCAGTGTCTTCAGTTTTTGACCTACAGTCTGATAAGTGTTTCTCGTGAGAGTCAGGATTATTCACGTCATCATCCTCACTGACTTCAGTTTCTGAAGAGTCAGAATTGTCTTCACAACTATTTAGATCTGGATTTTTTATAGTTTCTGCTCCTCCACAGGACCCTCCACCAGTTGCTGATTCTATGTGGTCAGCTGAGCTGCTGGTCAGAAGATCACCGACTTCATCTTGGTGTTGATGAAGCTGTGAGAACAGAGGTTTCTCTTCATCACCCTCACTCTTCAAAGGAACTGTAGTGAATGAAAAGCTGGTGACATCTGTCTCCTCCTTCACATTGACTGGCTCTCCCCCCAGACTGGTCCACTGTTCCTCCTCTTCCTCTTTTATGTGGAGGCAATTTACATCCTGCTGGTCCATATCAGGCCACTGTTCTTCAGGAGCTTCTTCTTTAATCAGCACCGATTTCTGAACATCTGCAGGAACCACTGGAACACATGTAAAATACAGTAAGGAGAACTGTAGCTTTATATTCAAATACATCATTTGTTTTAGTGCTCAGTTTAATGAGTTTTTTCATGACATAGTTCCAGTGCTAAACCAGAGCTCTTAGCACCAGCACTTTCATTTCCCTACATGGTGAGATCTGGATTTGAAGGGATCTCAGACTATTTGCTAGTGTTGAATTCAAGACCACCTAACCCGAGACCAAGTTGAGACCAAGACCTCAAATAAAATAAAATATAAAATTTTATTAAAAAATATTTTTTATAAAAGTTTAAAAGTTACATACTGCAACTTTGTTTGCTTTTGAATGAATGCATTAGCTTCTATAAATGTTCAAAGCTACATAACAAATAAATCAGACATTCAGTGGCCTAACTTCATGTGATTCAACAATAAAATTACACAACCGTTAAATTGGAAGCAGTTTCATCACATGTCAAACCTTAAAAAACTGCAGTGGCAAAATAATCTTCATAAGTCCAAACTCAAGACTAAAGGATAACCATATAGTTGCACAGTGGTTTCAATACAGTAGTAGATATACACCTATAAAGTTACATAAATGGAAATTAGTTTAAAGTAAGGTTTCATTGCATTTTAGAAACATGAGAGATTGCAACATACTATGGCCTAAACGTGCACGATGGGGTCTCATTAAAATGCCTCCTCGACTGAAAACCCTTTCCACTGGTGCAGAGGAGGCAGGGACTGACATTACCTTCAATGCTAAATTGTGGAGTTGTGGAAATCTGGCATAGTTTGTTGCCCAGAAGAAAAGTGCACTGTCCGTATCAGAGTCACAGATGGCATCAACGTATTTGCTTATCTGTGTTACAATACTTGAATCCTGGATTGAGCTGTGACAGTAGTAGGACAGAAGGCGATGCCATTTGGTTGGTGGTGAATCACTGGCTGGATCCACATTCATGGCTCCTGAGCACGTGTCATCTTTACTGTCCATCATGTTCTCCACCTCAAAGATCAATGTTTCTGAAAAAACACAAAGTGACTGAGTTAGATTTAAAAGGGATATGCACATATCAGAGTTGAATTAAATAATTTTAGGACCTTTTATAGGGCCTTTTATTACACGATAAATTAAGTTATATTTTTGCTATTCAAATAAACATGGTTAATGTAAAATTAAATGCAGGTTATTTTATCCAGTGCGGAAGTCAGTAATGAAATTATTCTATAAATTGTTATGTATTTAGGTTACAAGGTGTTGCTGTACTAAATCTAACCGCTGGCCTACTGTTTTAAAATTGTACTCGAAACACTTGGTACTTTGATTTCTCTCTACAGGTGAGTTTGATTGTCTAGTATAAAGTGAGTCAGGATTATGTACAATAGGCATGTTACCAGCCTTAATATAAAGTATCCGGTTCGATAGGCTCAGAGTACAGGCAGCATAATGGTGCAGTGGTTTTAGCACTGTTGCCTCACAGCAAGAAGGTCCTGGGTTCAATCCCCGGTTGGACCTGGGGTCTTTCTGTGTGGAGTTTGCATGTTCTTCTCGTGCTTGCATAGGTTTTCTCCGGGTACTCCGGTTTCCTCCCACAGACCAAAAACATGCATGTTAGGCTGCCTCCAGGCCCAGGCCTCCCTCGCAAATGAGATCTGTGATCTCAATGGGACTTGCCTGGTTAAATAAAAGGTTAATAAAATAAATAATATAGAGTGCACAAAATAATTTTCATGACAAAAGTAAACAGATGAAATGAAGATTAAGAATTCCACTGTAAGACCAGTTAAGGCTTTTATGGGCTAATAATTTGAAACATTTTAGGATTGATGATTTTGCAAATAAGACATTTGCAAACAAGGCAGAGAAAAATGTATATTTACCCATCAGTGTCTTCTTAAGTTCATCTCTGAACTTTTTCACTGATGCTGCATTTCCCCCATTTGTAACATAAGTCCACACAGTTTAAGCCAAACTGTGGATCCAGCATGGTCAGTCATGAGCACGGGTGATATGGCAGTCACCCCAAGGAAGGAGCGTAGCCTGCGATCAGACCAGAGGTCAGTTGTTGATGACAGACAACTGGGTCTTCAGTTGAGGAACATGTGTGGGTGAACACCACAATGTAAATCAATGGCCAACAAAGTCCTTGCTCAATAATCCAGATATACAATCCAACAATTTTCAGTCAGGTCATCTGGACAGTTTCTTTTTTTGTGCTGAAACGTTTCACCTTCCATCCAGGGCCGGCACCAGAAGAGGGGGCGTGTCAAAGAGACCATCTTAGCACCAACATAACTGGTTTGCTCCACTTTGGAGTAAGCTGTTGGGGGAAAAATCCGTTTTGTGTTGTGTGTTTCCTTGACTTATGAAGCCTTCTGGATGGAAGGTGAAACATTTCAGTACAAAACGAGAAACTGTCCAGATGACCTGACTGAAAATTGTTGGGTAAATCAATGGTATTTTGGCCATCACATTTTTCAAATAGATAAACAAGGAAGTTCAATGACTGATATGGTGTGAGACTTTTGAGATTGAACAGGTAAAAGGTTATTTAATTTGATCTGACACTGTAAATTGGAACTTAAAAAAATAGCTCTAAAAGTAATTTGCTTATAGCCATACAAAGCAACCTATTAGTAAATTCTCATAAGTTCAGACATTATATTACTCAGTCTCCACTCTCTGCTCATAAGGTGAGCTCTCTCGGCCAAATGAGGGAGCATCATCTTGGCGCTTAGCTTAATGTCAGGAGCTGTATGCAGCTGATATTAACTAATGTCAATGTAACTTAATATTAGCTACACAGCTTCTTGTGGCCTGTCTCGTTACGGTTCATCATAAGCAAAAATTAAACTAGCAGGACCTGCTAACATTGCTAACATCTCCATCTGCCTTCACGGACCGAACTCTTCTTCCGTTCGTTTCCGTGAGGAAAACTTGGATGTTCTCCGTCTGCTGGACCCGGTGGTTCTGGAGGGCAGCTGCTGCGGTCGACGTCATTACCATCAAGTTGCTAGCGGGACATGCTAACAACAAGGCCTGCTAATGCTAACAAGGCCATGCTGACAAAACATTCTGTTGTCTGTTTTGTTATTGGAACAGATGCAGATTGCCAACGTTAACTAGCTAGCTTTGCTATCATCACTTATAGCTTACCTTTCTTTGTGCGTCCGTTCCAGGTGTCGATAAAAGTTGGACGTAGTCCGACCATCTCTAGGTATGTTTACATGGACATAAGTAACCGGATCAAATGGCCAGTCGGAATAAAAAAGTGTGTCATGTAAACACTCCGTTCGGGTTATTTTTTTGTGTATTCGGCGCAATCCGATACAATTTGTGATCAGAACGAAACGGGTGGTTTACACCGATCCGTAACCTTAGTCCGCCCCTCTTATCCATATGATAGGCTGTGCTCCAGTAAGAAGGTGGAGCCTAGGCACAATATCCGAACAACCGTCAACATCAACGAGGACCTTCAACAGTACGCATACCGCAAGAATCGATCTACAGACGACGCCATCTCCTCTGTGGTCAACACTGCTCTCACCCACCTGGAGAAGAAGGACTCCTACATCCGTATGCACTTTGTGGATTTCACGTCTGTCTTCAATACAATGATTGTAAGGCAACGTGTCATCCACCCCTTCTGGTCCTTGAGCGAGAGTTGAATTATATAGGAGAGGCCAGTGCTGTAAACTCTAACCTTTTCCTGCCTTGATTTAATACAATTGGTAAACTGAATTCATGTTTCCTTGATTTATTGAGATAGTGTAGTTTAGACTTCTGAGGGAGTGCGAGCCAGGAGCCTCCTGGGCTGGAGGTGGGCCTGGGGTTCGAGATGAGACCTGAGGCCCACAGCTAGTGGCATTACCTTTTTCACCTAAGGATGGTATTTTACTGGTGCAAAACAATATGGGGATGATTTATATCTGTTGTAGTAGACTAAAACATGAGTCAAGGCTGAAAAGTTACAGAATGCGAGTTATACAGTGGTGCCTGAAAGTTTGTGAACTTTAAAAAAAAAAAAAAATTATATTGCTGCATAAATTACCTAAACCATCATTAGATTTTCACAGAAGTCCTAAATATATCGCATTTCCCGCCGTACACGTGGCATCGCCCTATAAGTCGCATCAGTCCAAATATGTTTAATAGAGTTGATCAAACCATTATTACATTGCTTCGCTGTATACGTTGCATCTATTACGTGTCACCGCTGACGCATCGCGTTTTTTTAACAAGATAACCACCTCAAAACTATTTGTTTGCTCGACATTATAGCAAAGGTGTGTCTCAGTTGAACTTTTCAAGGTTGGTTCTTTATTTGTCATACACACCACATGTGGAACATGTGGTGGAACGAAATTGTGTACACAGGGTCCCAGTTACATCCAACAAAAAGTATTAAAATGTTAAAGAAAAACAGTAATAAGATCTAAAATATGAACTAAGAAAAACGTTAACTAAAAATACACTAAGCACTAGTAGCACAAAAACAATACGGCGAACAGCAGCACGAACATGAGTCTGTGCCAATAGATGAGCACGAATAAACACAGCAACATGAAATAGATAAGCAGCAACATGTGATTTTTCACATCGATTATCCTGATTAGATATTCAGCCTCAGGGTAGAAGCTGTTCTTCTGTCTAGTGGTTCTACACTTAATGCTCCTTAACCTCCTTCCTGGAGGGAACAGGGCAAAAAGTGTGTGTGCTGGGTGAGTAAGGTCCTTCATGATGCAGGTGGCCCTCTTCCTGCGTCTGGAGGTGTAAATGTCTGTGATGGTGGAGAGACAGACTCCAACAGTCTTCTGTGCAGCCTTCACCACTCTCTGCAAAGCTCTTCTTTCTACAGCTGTGCAGCCTCCATGTCACACGATGATGCTGGAGCACAGAGTGCTCTCCACTACACACCTGTAGAAGGAGGTGAGGACTGAGCTTCCCAGACCATCTCGTCTCAGCCACCTGAGGAAGTAGAGTCACAGATGAGCTTTCTTGATCAGGCTGGTGGTGTTGTTGCACCAGCGGAAGTTGTCATTCAGGTGTACACCCAAGTACTTGTAGCTGGAGACCACTTCCACCGCAGATCCTCCTATGTTCGGGGGTGGGTTCACGACCATCTCCTTCGTCTTCTTCACATTGATGTGAAGGTTGTTCTTCTTGCACCAGCTCTCCAGGTTTTCCACCTCCTGCCTGTAGCTGGACTCATCGTTGTTTGTGATACATCCCACCACCTCTGTATCATCTGTAAACTTTACAATATGACAGCCTGGATGGGTAGGTGCTAGGGCTTTAACAGACTACTCGAGTAATCTACACATCGATTCCTAGGACATCTATAGAGTTTTTTAATTTCACGTCGAGTATTTGTGGTGACATCATTACGTTGTCGTTATGTCATTGCGCCACGTCACGTGATCTGCGCCGGGCGCGGGTTACAAAATGGATTCCTCCAAGCAGACAGATGGAGCAGAGCAGGCCCAGTCTTGGCAAACAGGTAGAAATGCATCAATACTATAGTATGGAAATATTTCACTAAAGATGAATCTTCCAGTGCAACTACCGTAAGGAAACAGAAAACGAATCAACTTCCTGACTCGAGCTATTTGCGAACCGGTGTTACACCATTTTCTGTGACCACCGTATATTGTGACCGTAGGGGGCGGTGTTGCATGCACTGTTGAAGGTCACAGAATATGGTGCAACACCGGGTCCAATCAACTGAACCAGAACCAGCTTCCTCTGACCTTGTTTCACAAACAAAAAGCAAAAAATATTAATCTCTAAACCTATTAAAAAAAAATCTATAAACATATTAATCTCTAAAACTAAACCTAATGCGCACCTCTGCTGGCGGTGGTGCGGGGTGGTCGACTGCCACACTGTCTTTAGTTTCGTTTTTGACGTACTGCATATTTCTTTTACTTTTGCAGCTTAATATTAATAACTAATAGTTTAGTTTTTCCTGTGACTTATTTGCAGTATGATAAATGGTAGGAGCATAATATATGCTCCCAATGTTTTGTTGGTATTTTTTTTTGTTGTAAATAATGAACTTTTTTGCGGTTTTATTTATTCATTTATTTTTGTATCTTTAGATCCTATGATGACATCAAGTACTTGAGTTCTACTCGAGTTTTATTATGTTAATGTCGAGTTTAAAAATTATGTAATCGTTCAACCCCTAGTAGGTGCACAGTCATATGTGAGCAGAGTGAACAGGAGAGGGCTCAGCACACAGCCCTGAGGGGAGCCGGTGCTGAGGGTTATGGTGGAGGAGGAGAAATTGTGGATCCTCACGGACTGAGGTCTGTTTGTTAAGAAGTCTAGGACCCAGTTGAAAATGGAGGGGCTTAGTCCTAGTGTGAGTAGTTTGTCCATCAGTGTTTGGGGGATCACGGTATTGAAGGCAGACGTGAAGTCCACAAAGAGCATACGGACATAGGAGTCCTGCTCCAGGTGGGTGAGAGCAGTGTGGACCACAGGTGAGATAGTGTCTTCTGTAGATCCATTATTGCGGTATGCGTACTGGTGAGTGTCCTCGTTGATGGTTGTTCTGATGTGGGTCATGACCAGTTTTTCAAAGCATTTAGCGACTATCGGGGTGAAGGCAACTGGCCGGTAGTCATTCAGACCAGTCACTGTAGAGCTCTTTGGGACTGGGATGATGGTTGCGGTCTTCAGGCAGGTTTTTTAGTTGAAAACTGCACAGTTTTCAACTAAAAAAGTAACAATTAAACTGAAAACTTTGATTTTACATCAGACACAGCATTACTGTGGTTAGCCAGTAGAAGACAGATCTATATAGTAGGCTAAATTTCTATAGTTTCTACCATATACCGTATATATATATATATTGCGCATTCCTAGTTAGTATGAATGAAAATGGTCATATCTCAACCAAAAGTTGGTTTATAAATATGGGGGGAAAAAATCCATAAATAAGTCGCTTCGGCGTATAAGTCGCAGGGCATGCAAATGATGGAAAAAAAGTGACTTATAGGCCAAAAAATACAGAAGATAACGAGAACCCAGTTAAACAAAGAAAACAAAAATATTATACTTGGGCATTTATTTATTGAGGAAAATTATCCAATATTACATATTTGGGAGTGGCAAAAGTATGTGAACCGCTAGGATTAGGAATTAATTTGAAGGTGAAATTAGAGTCAGGCGTTTTTAATTAATGGGATGATGATGATCAAGTGTGAGTGGGCACCCTGTATAATTTAAAGAACAGGGATCTATCAAAGTCTGCTCTTCACAACGTTTGTGGAAGTATGTCATGGCACGAACAAAGGAGATTTCTGAGGAGTTCAGAAAAGCAGTTGTTGATGCTCAACAGGCTGGAAAATGTTACAAAACCATCTCAAAAGAGTTTGTGGACTCCACTAATCCACAGTCAGGCAGATTGTGTAGAGATGGAGGTGATTCAAGATCATTGTTACTCTCCCCAGGAATGGTTGACCAACAAAGATCACTCCAAAATCAAGGCGTGGAATAGACAGCAAGGTCACAAAGAACCCTAGGGTAACTTCTAAGCAACTGAAGGCCTCTCTCACATTGACTAATGTTAATGTTCATGAGTCCACCATCAGAAGAACACTGAACAACAATGGTGGTCATGGCAGGGTTGCAAGGAGAAAGCCAATGCTCTCCAAAAAAAATATTGCTGCTCATCTGCAGTTTGCCAAAGATCATATGGACAAGCCAGAAGGCTGTTGGAAGAAAGTTTTGTGGATGGATGAGACCAAAATAGAACTTTTTGGTTTAAATGAAGTGTTGTGTCTGGAGAAAGGAAAACTCTGTATTCCCGCATAAAAACCTTATCCCATCTGTGAAGCATGGTGGTGGTAGTATCATGGTTTGGGCCCGTTTTGCTGCATCTGGGCCAGAGAACGCACAGAAAGAAAAAGAAGAAGAAAGAAGAAATACTGCAGTGTTAAAAAAATGGTGACTTCCATGTGTCAACTAATTTTTTTAGAAACCATTTTTGGACTGCTTTCACACTACTTCAGGTAAAGAATGTCAGGATGGTGATGGTATATTTTTTTAATTTACATTTTTATATATTATGTTTCATAATAAACATGTACACACATGTTCCTGTTTACATTTGTCAGGTCGTAGCCAACTCAGTCACAGAATTAGATCCACTGAACACACTTCTATTCTGGAGTAATAGGTTTTGGAAACAGCATCAACCACGTAACTTGCCATATACCAAATGTGATTTTTGTCAGCATATCGGCTGTCACTATTGCAAGTCCCATAGCAAAAATGCTTCTTGGATACCTTTTATTTATTTGGCTGTTTTTTTGTTTTTTAATCAGTGCAAACCACAACTACAGCCCTAATTGTATTGTACTTGAAGTTCCGCTTGCCTGATATCCGGGTCCTTGCTGACGTCATATATTGTGTAAGCAGCAATTTTAGTATCTCTGACCAGAAGATATACTTCACTGTTTTGCATCCTTCATCACAGAACATCGATCAAGCGATCGTTACGTTCGTGCTCTCAAAAGCCACAATCTCAGCATTAGATTGTCATGAAAATTATTTAGACTATATATATATATATATATATATACACACACATACATACACACACACACATGCACGCACACACACACACAATACCCCCCACCCTCTGTAAAAATATATTGGTGTTTATATGTTCATCAAAATCAGTTAAATGTGAACGTTAGTGTTCTTTATTCAGAAAATCAACATGTCACATTTCATGATCTGATCATTATAGACACGGATTAAATGTTCAATATGAATATTTCTATATTTATTACCACAGTAATAGTGTTACACACATTAGTAGTTGTAAACACTAAAAATAATACATGTTGGTTTAGTGCTTACCTTTAACCTAAACATTTAAGGAGTAAACATTTTTAATAATCACTTAAAAAAAGTTATAAATGTTGTCTTTGGTGTCTGTTTGTTTTACAAATATATTAGTGTGTGTGAATGACAGGCATAAACTTAAAACACTTTGTAGAACAGTGCTTTATGAAGTTCTGTTCATTCCCTTTATCAGTTGACCGGCAGTTCTGCCACATCCAATATGGCGGCCGCTCCGACGTACCGCTGCAACGGGCCAGCCCACACAACAAGGTGTCTTCTAACTGCCTCACCAATTCTCTGTTGTGATCGCACTGGCAGATGACAATAGCCAATCAGTGACGGAGAAAGGTCAGGGGAGCTTTGCTATAAAATAATGATGAATGATTGTTTGAAATGTGTTTAATAAATTAACTCAAAAACCGCCGATCTGACTCCAAATCCGCCCAAATTATCCCCACCCACCCAAAGCAATTTTAACCTGCAACATCAGAATGAAAACCGCCCAACCTGGCAACACTGGCTGCCATCCCCTGACTCACCAGACCGGAAGTCCACACTTTTTTTTTTTCTATGAAACTAAATCCATTAATTACCAGAAAACTGCAACTAAACATAATCACATTCACATTAAAATAATAAAAAGATACAAACCTATTATATGCAGTTGGTCGGGACTGAAAGCGGCATCTAAGACTTGGTTTCCTTCAGGTTTTTCCTGTTCGAGAGCTGCGCTACTTCCAAAACCCTCCGACATTTCTTCCTCCTCTGCATCCAGGTGCTGTTTAAGCTGCTGTCTCCACTTCTCTTAGCTTCCGTTCATCAACGTTTACCGAGCTGTTACAGCTGAATATAACTTTAAACTACTATGACCAGCAGCAGAGAAGAAAAGAGCTGAGCGCATCACTCCACAGGAATATATCACAGCGAAACATGGACGTACGTAAGAAACAACAGCTTCCGCTCGCTTCTTCTTCTTCTTCTTCTTCTTCTTCTTCTTCTTCTTCTTCTTCTTAATGAGGTTTTATGGCGGTTGGCAAACAACGGAAGGTGTGCATTACCGCCACCTACTATTGTGGAGTGTGGATCAAAATGGCTATGTCTGTATGTTTATATTCTCTTGTCTAATTTTGTGGGTTTTTTTTTTTAAATGTATAATGATTTGAATACTTTTCCTTCTTATTTCCTTTTGCAATATATTTATTATACTAAATGTTTCTTTGATTTTTCCTAATTGTTCTATCATACGCCTTCTGTGATGTTCCTATTTCTGACAGACCAAAATGACATGTTCTATTGTTTCCTCTTGTCCACAGTGCTCACATTGTTCTGTATCATGTTTCTGAATCTTGTGTAGTGTGCTGTTAAGTCCGGTATGTCCAAATCTTACTCTGGTTATTAGTCTTTCTTCTCTTCTGTTCCTCATTTCTCCCACTTGTCTCTGAATTCTCTAGTACCATCTTCCTTTGTGCTCTTCTTCCCACTGTTTTTGCCATTTTTCCTTTAGTTTTTGTTTCACTATGGTTCTTGCTTCTGATTTACTGATGGATATTGTAAAATTGATTTGATCTTTTGTTGCTGCTTTTGCTGCCCTGTCTGCTGCTTCATTCCCTCTGATCCCTATATGTGCTGGTGTCCATAAACATATCACTGTCAGTCCCATCATTTGTATTCTGAATAATGTTTGTTGTAGTTCTAGTAAAATGTCCGGTCGGCTATCTGAATGACTATTTTGCAAACTGATGAGTGTTGAGCTTGAGTCTGAACAGATGTTTGTTTTTAACGGTCTTGTGTCTTCTATCCACTGCACTGCCAACAGTACTGCCAACATCTCCCCTGTGTACAGATACTTCATTTGTGATTATTTTCCTTACTTCTATGTTGAATTCTGGTATTACATATGACACTCCTACTTTCTCTGATGTTTTTGATGCATCTGTATAAATCTGTAAATAGTTATAGTAGTTATTGATATGGTCCTGTACTGTATAGGAGTTAAAAAAAAATCTTCTGTATTTTTTCTTGTCCATGAGTGTCAAGTCAACTGTTGCATTTGGAAGAAGCCATGGTGGTATTGTTGGTACTGGTACTACTGGGCTGATGTCTACGTTGTCTATTTTCATTTCTTTAGTTTTCTGGTCTATTGTCCATCCAAAACTTCTTGTCTCTTTCTTCTCCGTCTCCCAGCGTGGTTTTAAAATATCTAGTGTTGGGTGTTCCGGGTTATTTCCTTTAAGATTGATCCAGTAGTTCATTGCTAATTGTTCTCGTCTCATTGCTAACGGCATTTCTCCCATTTCTACTCCAAGTGCTGCTGCTGGGGTGGTTTTGAATGCTCATAGTCTTGAGCTCTTATTTTGAAGGCCAGCTGATAAAGCTTGGTATTGTATTTTGTCCAGTTTCTCCAAATGTGTTTTTGCTGCTGATCCATAAATTACACAACGATAATCTATATTTGATCTGATAGGTCCTGTATAAATTCGTTTTAATGTTGTTCTATCTGCACCCCATTCATTCCCAGCTAAACATCTCATAATGTTTAAGGTTTTTTTACATTTATCAATAATCTTTTGTATATGTACATTCCATATGATTTTCTCATCAAACCATATACCCAAATATTTTATACACTTAACTTGCTCTAGTTCTTGATTATATAATTTCAATTTAATTTCTCACGTGGCGTCTCTGGGCAGCACGTCTAATCCCCAAAATGTCCCCCGGGCGCTTTCAATAGCTGCCCACTGCACCACCTGGTGGTGGATGGGTTAAATGCAGAGACTAATTTCGCCATTGTATGGAAACATACAGTGCTGACATTGTGATGACATTATTATTATTATTATTATTATTATGTGACTCTTTTCTGTGTGAATATCATTACTTTTGTTTTATCTACTGAAAATTTGAATCCCCAATCATTTGCCCATTTCTCAATTTTTAATATATCCTCTTGTATTTTCTTCACAGTGAATTTTATATTTTTTCCTCTTTTCCAAATGGTTCCATCATCTGCAAATAATGAACATCCCATCCCCTGCTTCCTCTCGCTGCAGTGAGTCATTTCCTTTATCAGCTGGCCTTCAAAATAAGAGCTCAAACGAAACTGTTCTTCAGTACTTGTGTGCGTTCACAGAGCAACTTGTACATTTCAGTGAATTCAGACCCATCCATCCATTATCTTTTACCCGCTTCTTCCTTTTTGTGTCACGGGGGTCACTGGTGCCCATGTCCAGCCAGCTGTGCGAGAGGCGGGGTACACTCCGGACAGTCTCCAGTCCATCACAGGGACACATAGAGACAAACGAGACAAACAGCCATTCACTCTCTCACTCCCACGTATGGATAATTTTAGATTTACCAATTAGCCTAACATGCATGTTTTTGGTCTGTGGGAGGAAAAGTTATTTTTGCCAAGTTCAGTCTTCACTGAGGGGACGCTGCAGGTAATGTCTTGAGAGTAAACGCTGTAGCTGCACTTACGACGTGACACGCAGGAGATGTATGAAGTCAACAGCACAAGAAGTCATTTAAAGATTAAAACGTTTCAGTGAGAGTGTCAAGTCAAAAATATCAATGCCATCTCTCCTACTCTCCTAGACATTTCTAAACCTGATGTCATCATGTCCTGCCTTCCTTTTCTTCATACATTTCATACGTAATCCTCACTTATCTTCCCCCTTGCTGGTCCACAGATTCTATGACCTCTACTTTTCTTTCCCATTATCTTCTTTCATTAGCTCCTTCACTGGTCATGGATGCAGCAGTGGTGCAGGAGAAAAACCTAGACATCCCACACTCCAGCTCCTCCTGAGGGATGTTGAGGCATTCCCAGGCCAGGGAATATACACAATCCCTCCAGCGAATTCTGAGTCTGCCTCAGGGCCTTTTACCAGTGGGATGTGTTTGGAAAACTTCCAGCAGGAGGTGTCCAGGAGACATCCTAATCAGATGCCTGAACCATCTCAAATGACTTATTTTGATATGAAGAAGCAGCCACTTGTATCGAGAGTCTTATTCTTTGGAAGATAGACCAGTAAATCAAGCGCTTTGCCATTTGACTCAACTCTTCCTTCAGCCAGACCAGGGCTTAATTTGTAAACCCATTGATGCTAGAACACAGATGGCAGGCAGTCTGGCAGGGCGGGTGTGGGGGTTGTGTGTGTGTGTGTGGGGGGGGGGGGTCGTCTGTGGGTCTGTCCCCCCAAAAAAATAGATTAAAAGAGATGCCATTTCCTGTATGTTGATGTATTTTAACAGGTTATTAAACATCTGTAAACATTTGATTAAATTTAATAAAAACAGGTCTCTTTTGTAAATGAGGCCTCGAGGCTCGGTGAGACTAACAACTTGCATAAATAAAGGTTTAATTGAAATTACTATTTTTGAGAGCAACGACAACCAGCCGAGCAGCTCAGATTCTGTCATGCATACTAAACCCCCCACCCCCCCACCCCACACACACACACAAACATTTCACTGTCCAACCCAAACTCTTCTCAGCTGAACTCAGTCCTGTGCTCCTGCTCCATTCTCGATTACCATCTAAGCCGTGCGTTCCTGCACGTCGCAGCCATTTCACTGCCACACGTTTCACAGATGTTTATAACTCTGAAATGATAATTCAGCCCCCGGTGTTTCTCACCACCACTGAGGAGCTAACATCCCAGTTCAACTGAGGACCAGTTGTTCCTCACAGTTCCAGGAACTCGTCTTAAGCACAGAGGTGACAGGGCCTTCTCTGTAGCAGGACCAAGACTTTGGAACGAGTTACCTCTGCTTGTCAGACAGGCCCCCTCCCTCTCGGTTTTCAAGTCCCATTTAAAAACTCAGTACTATTCAACAGCTTTCAACACCAGATGATCTGTGTTTTGATCCTGTATGCTCCACACTGGTTTGTCGTCATTATCTGCATCGTTTTTTGTCTATATTCTGATTTACCTCATTTTGTATTTTGCTTTGTGTGTTACCTGTTGTTTTGTCTGTACAGCACTTTGGTTGGCCTTGTTGTTGTTTTAAGTGCTTTATAAATAAAGTGGTATGGTATGGTACCACTCCCTTCAGGTGCTTCAATTCTCAGTTGTCCAGCTAAGGACAAACCATCCTTTCATCAATTTATTTTATGAAAGTAAATTGGACTGTCCATTGTCCACATTTTTATCGCTGTTATTTTGACAAATTAGTGCCGTTGTTTTGAAACATGATGTAATGTGAATAATACTCATTTCTTTTGCTGTATTTTATTTTTTACTGTAAGCTTTTTTATTTATGTCTGAAATGTATGCAGGAGTTCCGACACACCAGCAGTTGTGCGTGCCGTCTGTAGAGCTGTCTGGATGCGCTCCTGTGAGTAAAACACGCACTGTCAGCAGGGCGCATGGCTGAAGGTGGATGAAAACGCTCATCGCCGTGGAACATGTGATCCGCGTCTCTGCTGGGCAGAAGTGTGTGTGCGAGCTGGTGCAAATAGTGTGGCTGGAAAATCCACTCCACAGACTGGGCAACGTCTCCTCTTGTTGTATTTTAATAAATATAATCAAAATAAAAATGCGCAATGACTTTAGACTTTTAGGAGCGGAGATTTGAGTTGCCAGATCTGAGCAAACAGTTGCAGAAACACGGCCTGTCAAAATGAGAGAGTTCACAGATCTTGTTCCGGCTCAAATTAACCACTGACCCAGACTTACTGGACCAATGCCTCATTACTGAGGATGAGGCCCAATACATCAATCGATCCATCTCCTGATCCATACCATGACTTGTGAACAAGACACGAATATACGTCAACTCATCCACCTGAGGGAAAGGCTCCTCCCAGTGGAATACCACCTGGAGGGGGCATTCCACCTGTTCTGCAAAGTACTTCATCTTTACATAACACACTTTACCCTTTTTAGAACTCTGCCATTTCTATCTGTACCAATCCTAACATGCCACATATTCTTTGCATCCTAATCCCTGTCTTGTCAGTCGATACAAGTTGTTGTCTCCC